ACCCTTTACAACATCAGAAGGATACGTCCCCTCCTGACCCAGAAAGCGACGCAACTTCTGGTCCAGGCTCACGCCTAGACTACTGCAACTCCCTCCTGGCTGGTCTACCTGCATGTGCCATCCATCCAGAATGCAGCGGCTCGCCTGGTCTTCAACCTTCCAAAATGTTCCCACACCACGCCGCTCCTCCGCTCACTTCACTGGCTTCCAGTAACTGCTAGAATCCACTTCAAGACAATGGTACTTGCGTACCATGCTGCGAATGGATCTGGCCCTTCCTACATCCAGGACATGGTTAAACCATACACCCCAGCACGTGCACTCTGCATCAGCCAAACGGCTCGCTGCATCAGCACTGCGAGGGGGACCCAAGTTCCCATCAGCAAAAACACGTCGGTTTGCTATCCTGGCTCCAAAATGGTGGAATGAGCTCCCCATTGAAATCAGGACAGCAGAAAGCTTACACATCTTCCGGGGCAGACTGAAAACTCATCTCTTTCGACTCCACTTCGAGCGATAGAATGACTAACAAAGAATGACTAACAAAGCACTTATACAGTATACTAATAAAGGACTGGCTTATCTAAAGCCAGTTGAGTAGCACTTGAAATGTTTTGTCTCTATGAAACCTGATGTACTTATATGATTCTGTTTTCTTCAAGTTTGTATCTTCTTGGTCGAATGCATTTATTGTAAGTCGCTTTGGATAAAAGCGTCAGCTAAATGCAATGTAATGTAATGTAATGAAATAATTGGTCAGTGTGAGCACAGAGGAGACAAATCCACAAGGGGCTTTATGAACAGTCAGGGGGCAGCAGTTTCTAATTGCAACACGCAGAAATGCATGTTAAAACATGGCCGCCTCAGTGCCATTTGGAGTCAGAGCAGGGTGGGAATACTGTACGCCACATATAGTGATATAGTCATAAGGACCCATTCATCTTTGTTTCAGACAATATCAGCATTCTTTATGGTTCTTGTCTGTTTTTGTGCGCTGTATTTTTCATTTGGGTATATGATTTTAATTAAAGCAAAATGAGATGGAAAGTGCCATGAGACAGAAACAAAGAGGGGGGATTGGTGTTGTTGTTTATCACTGGATTGCTCTTTTAATGAGAATGGAATGGGGGCAGGCACGTTGTTATTATGCTTCTTGGCAGGGTGTCTGTATCTGTGTCTGTGTGCGTGTGCCTGCACTATAATCATCTGCCTACAATCCTAAGTGGCCAAGCCATGCTGGAAGAGAGCTTCCCCTCCTCAGGCACAGAGTGTTGGCTGTAAGGTACCTGGCAGAACATGTGTGCACAGACCCAGGCCCTGTCGCTGCCAGGTGTGTTGAGGAGGTAATTGCCAGTGTGGCAGCCCAGCGTCCAGCGGCTTAGAGGGGGAGGCCTGGAGAGAAAATGAGGAGCTGCTCTGCTGGAGTCTGTTTGCCCGAGGGGGCGGCTCACTATCAGCCGTTGTTGTTCATCCAATTCCCCTGTGTCCCCTTACACCACTTCCTTTTCTTCTTATAGTTTCGCTCTTTAGCCCACTCGCTTCGTCCTACTTGGTCCTGTTCACGCACATTTACAGCTTTCTCCATTTCTCCCTCTTTAACTCCTCACTGCATCTGTATCTCTCTCCTCTCTTGTACTGGATCCAACTGGGCTGTCACTGAGAGGCTGCAGTTTTACCACCATTTAATCCCCCAGCAGTCTACTCCGGGAGAGACCGACAATCACACATGTGTTCATCTTTTCTGTCCCCTGACACTATCCTGATAACACCCTGGATTAGTGTTTAGTAGTCTCAGGGTGATGAGATACTTTAAAGATACTGTTTATTGATGGGGTAGAGTGTACAAAAAATGAGAAATGCCAGTTATAGCTGTGCATAGTTGAACAGCAGAGAAACAGTGTCTTTTTATGAATGCATGTGTACTTTCTTCTGGATTCCAGGGTGTCAAATGCTTCCCATATCAGTGCAGTGGATGTTTAAAGGTAGGGTAGGTAAATTTGAGAAACCGGCTCGAGATCGCTAGAATTTGAAAATACACAGCCGGAGAAAATCTGCCACTTCCTTATAGAGCCCCTCCTCCAACACACACGAACGCGCACATGACCAATGAGGGCACGAGATAAGTTTGTGCACAGATGGAAGGCTGACAGGCAGGTAGGCCATCCAGTTATTTTAGCCGGGCCAGCTAAAATGATTGGTCGTGCTTTTTACAGTATTACAGCTTCCACAGATGACATTTTTTTTATGGATTTTTTGTCAAAGCACTTAAGATATTCATTGCTATCGGGATGTTAAGAGCTTTCCATGGAATATAACAAAAAGTGTATCTCGAGCCGGTTTCTCAAACATACCTACCCCATCTTTAATCTCTCAGAGATGATGGGTTTTGCAGATCAAACTCCAATGGTGTAATGAGGCTCTGGCACTGTGGTGTACATTTTGGAGGCTATTTTTGGATTCAAACGATTAGCACATCAACAGAAAACGTAGCTTCTTATTAGGATAATTTGTTAATCGTTTCAGTCATTTTTCAAGCACAACTGACAAATGGGCATTATTCAGCTTCTTCAAAGTGAGGATTATCTTTTATCCTCTCTTTATTTTATTGTAAAGCGAATATCTTTGAGGAAACTGATGGCCATTTAATATTTTTTAGACAAAGACCATACTCCAATTTTGTATAATACACAAAGGCTTTTTATTGTCAAATCCCACCTGCGCTCCATAATTAGTTTTGTCTGCTTAAACAGGCAACCCTGCATCTAGAAGAGCTTTTTAAAATCATCCCCTACACTCGTGTGCTGACAGATGCACCGCTCTATAAATGCCATTGCATTTGGTTGAGTGTGAACAGATGCATCTGTGTACTGTCAGTGGTGATACTGTTGACATTTCATGTTGTGAATAGGAGCGTTGTGTATCTGTTCACCTCGTCTCACTCCGCTCTGATAAAACTGGCCTGTCTTTTCATATCAACACCCGATGTTTAGTTTACTTTGCAGATGATGAGCTAAAGGTAGAAGTCACAAGTATCTTCATCGCAGTTCAAGGTTGCATTAAGTGGCAACCACTGGCTCTAATATAAAGCTAAGACAATGAACTGTCTTCTTTGAAGACGTCAGCATGGGGCACATCCACTGGTTGCAAAATAAGTCTGATTGTGTAGAAGTCTATAAGAAAATTACCCTACCTGTTACTTCATTTGATACCTCAGTTAACATTTTCCTAATCATTTTTTTGTCTCGATTGATCATTTAAAGTCTTCTTTATAGCTGCAAGATGTACATTTAAAAAAATGATGGTCGAATTAAGAGTAAACTAGATGATAAAGCGGCATATGCTTTGGAGCAGGCTTGTGATTGACAGGTTGCTAACATGGTCTTGTTTGGATGTTTTTTTTTTATCTTGCAACTTTCCAATTTGTTCTATAATTCTAGGTAATAATAGGTAATGTTGGTCGACCAAAAGTGTCAAGTTCAGTTTCAGTTCTACTTTGCCAAACCCTCTCATTCTGGTTGCAAAATAATCAAGATGGCTGCAGCCAAACTCAAGGCTTTTTCACTCTCCAAAATCCAACCGGTGACGTCACAGTTACTACATTCACGTTTATACATCTCATATATACATATATATTTATGGGTTACGTTGACATCTAATATACTTTTTTAGAAAATCTTAAATCCCTTATGAGGAATGTAAAATAATATAGGTATTCCGAGTTATATATAGCCTTTACATCTGTTTTCAGAATTACTTTTCTGCCAAGTCAATTCGCTGAGAGGAGTAAAAGCACAGGAAGGATAAGGTTAGAGCTATTACAGTCACAGATTGTAGAGGAAAAAGCCCAGTGGCCCGGCTCTCGCCAAGCACTAAACATTGTTATTTCAATTTCAGCTCGGAGTTCGGTCAGTCCCCTTTTTTTTCTGCAGCCCCCCGCTACTGTTCTCTACTGAATCAGAAGTGCTTTATAGTTAAACCCAGTGTTTACCCAGTACCCAGAGTGACACATGAGATTTCATTTGACATTGTGTATTCATGATTGTCATAGTAGAGGCTTACTGTTGTAGCATTCTCCTTAAAATGAATTATGTGCAATTATCTTAACACTATGCATACTATATGTGAAACAAAAGGTCATCATGTGTTCTCTATATACATTTGATGACACAATCATTGCCATCTCAGTGGTCCTCTATATCGTTTTTGAGAAGAATATCTAAATAACATCTTGTGTGTGTGTGTGTGTGTGTGTGTGTGTGTGTGTGTGTGTGTGTGTGTGTGTGTGTGTGTGTGTGTGTGTGGTGTGTGTGTGTGTGTGTGTGTGTGTGTGTGTGTGTGTGTGTGTGTGTGTGTGTGTGTGTGTGTGTGTGTGTGTGTGTGTGTGTGTGTGTGTGTGTGTGTGTGTGTGTGTTGTGTGTGTGTGTGTGTGTGTGTGTGTGTGTGTGTGTGTGTGTGTGGTGTGTGTGTGTGTGTGTGTGTGTGTGTGTGTGTGGTGTGTGTGTGTGTGTGTGTGTGTGTGTGTGTGTGTGTGTGTGTGTGTGTCCCTGTTTGTATCACATCCCCCTCCCTCAAAACCCTGCCAGCTCATGAAAAATGAATGAAGCCGTGTGTGTATATGAGTCTGTGTGCCCTAATGTCTATCTCCATGGGTTGATCAGTTATTCTATCAGATGTTTTACTAAAGGACGGGGCCTGCACCAATTTCTAAAAAACTGTGTGTGTGAGAGAGCTGGATAGAGGGGTTGGGGGTTTCAGGGTAAAACATGTCCAGGTTGAATGCTACCGTTAATGCTTGTTAGATTACTCTAATGGTACTGACTTTGTGTTTGTTTTTAAGTGTTTTGTTTTATACCTGCATTTATGCCTTTTGTGTGCATGTGCCATCCGACCTCTTGCCTCTTTATCCTGAAAATTGCCGTTTCCCATTTACCTCCCTCCTGTAGTATTTGAGGCACTTATCAACCTTTCCTCCCTCTCTCTCTGTTTCTCCATCCCTGTAGAAGAACAACCTCTTGTAGAGCGGTGGCCAGAGAGACAGGGGAGCACATGTGCAGCGGAAACGGCGTGACAGCAACATCCTGACCGGTAACCTTGCTTCTGCACCCCCCCCCACCACCACCCGCCCAAGTACTCCACGAGCAGGGAGTCAGAAGGAAGGAAACGTGCGACCACCCCTCCTGCAGGCATGGTAATACACTCTGTCTGTATGTGTGTGTGATGCCTGTGTTGTGGTTTTTGCTTGCTTGAATGCCGGTGAATTATCCAAAAGAGGAAATACTCTACAGACTTCAGGGTGTACGAGTTCAAGCCGATGACTTGTTCTAGACACAACAACAGTGTGTGCGTGTTTCAAAGATAGAGAGATACTTGATAAGAGCTTGTGCAGACTTGAGTGTAAGGCTGTGGTTAGACTGGGGGAACTATAAGGAGATATGTTAACATGGGGAACAAAGGATGAAAAGGGACAACAGAGACCTAGAAGATGGAGAAAAACTCAATAAAAAACACAAGACGACAGTGGTGTTAAACAAAAAGCCAAACAAAACCCAATTTTTATTACATTTTGATTCAAAGTCAATTCATTTGTTCTTTTCAATATCTTTTTCCAAAGTTGAATGACGTGTAATTCAACAACCTGCCGTTTGTTAGAGTTTAATAAAAAGCATTTTCATTGGTCTACAGTGCACGATCACAAAATATGAATTAATATAGAATTTCCGTTTTGTTCTCATATGTAATAGCAAAAGAAAGACGTGTTGAAAGGCATAAGAGGCAGGGAAAGAGAGTCTGTGGTTAAAAAGGAGGAGAGGGCGTTTTAAAGGATCAAAGAGAGCAGCTGAGGGGGAGAATGACAAGTGGGGGGCAGATAAGACCATACAAACATAAAATGATGGACAGAAACATGACAGATGTAAAGGATATGGGAAGCCAAAAGAGAGGTGTGAAGCAGAGAAATGGGGGAGAGACGGGAGAGGGAAAGAGAGAGAGAGAGAGAGATTGATTAATGTGCTTGGCCTGTGACAGTGGGAGCTTTTCCCTGAGGGGGGAGCCGTGCAGAAGATGAATTATTAAGAGCTAGAACAAGAGGAGGAAGGAGGAAATGTGAGTGGGAAAAAGGAAAAAGGAAAAGATTGGAAGAGTGGTTTATAGGGGGGGAGGGAGGAAGAATGGAGGGGGGAGGAAATGGGAGAAAAACGGAATGATTGAGAGGAAACAAGATGTTGCTGAAGGTGCTGAGGCTGGACACCGCAGATGAGGGCACGTGGTTGAGCTCATAAATAACCAAGGGTAATGAGACGTGTGTGTGTGTGTGTGTGTGTGTGTGTGTGTGTGTGTGTGTGTGTGTGTGTGTGTGTGTGTGTGTGTGTGTGTGTGTGTGTGTGTGTGTGTGTGTGTGTGTGTGTGTGTGTGTGTGTGTGTGTGTGTGTGTGTGTGTGTGTGTGTGTGTGTGTGTGTGTGTGTGTGTGTGTGTGTGTGTGTGTGTGTGTGTGTGTGTGTGTGTGTGTGTGTGTGTGTGTGTGTGTGTGTGTGTGTGTGTGTGTGTGTGTGTGTGTGTGTGTGTGTGTGTGTGTGTGTGTGTGTGTGTGTGTGTGTGTGTGTGTGTGTGTTGCAAACACAGTGCTGTGATTCGTCCCGAGTTATTGTGATGCAGCAAATACTGTGGGTGACCTTGGCAGGGGTGTCATCCCCAAACCGCACGATACTCCAAACGGCTTCTCTCTCGACTTTCCTATGAGCTTTCTGCATTTAATGAATGCACATGCCCGCAGTGTCATCATTAGTTGCTGCTCAGTTTCTAGAGAAGACAAGTGGAACGTTTGAACAGTTTGGAGGTTTCTGTTCTGCTTTTCATGTTATGTTGAATATAAAATATCCTCATCTCTATAACATCTGCCATGTGCATTTTAGTAAAAGACATCCCATTAAAAATAAATCTGCAAGGTTTGAAAAGTTTTTGTTAAAACGGGGAAACGTATTTCATTAAGACATTTTTACCATTCTTCGCATATGACATCATTTTATGTCTATTTTATTGTGTTCTGGTATTTCCCTCTTGTATAAATGGCCATACTCAATACGCTAATAGCATGGACAGCAACAATGTAATGTCAGCTCATCTGCTTTGAGCAGTCGGGTCATAATATTTAATAGGCAGACCATAAACCTTTAAAACCATGCCGACAAATGAAAGGGCGTGTTTAATAACATCTCTTCCCTTTAGTTCACATTAGACTGGGTACTGTATTCTAGGAGGCTTGTTTGTAATCTGGATTGATGAGCAGACTTCAGATGAAAATGGTTGATGCTGAAACATGACAGTGTGGTCATTTAGCAGATGAGGATGACATGTTGTATATTGCCTTATGTCGAGTTTCCTTTTTTGAAAATGTTGACAACGAGCAGCTGAGAGTTCAGTCTTGACATGGACAGCCTGTTCTAAGTTTTGGAATTCTTCACATTTATTTTGATGTATGTTTCCCCTGCTTCTGTGTGTGAATGCACGCATGTGGTTATGTGAAGGACAGCGCGAGGAAGTGAGAGAGAGCCCAATAAAACAGGATAGCGGAGTGTGTCGGGTCGGCTTGCCAAGCAGAGTGCAGATAAATCACAGGATGAATTTTTAATGCAATCTCCCCTAGGCTGCTGGATGTTACTGAGACAGTTTTTTATTTGTGTGTGTTGCTTGTTCCATCACTCCAAGACATTTCTTTGATGGGTTTTTGAAGGTTTAGAATTGTTCTCTTATCCTTCAACTTGACTTGGTTTCATGTTAGGCCAAAGAGGTGTGACATTTTCTCAAATACCACTCCTGAAATATAGTTTTTTGCGTGGGATAAACGGCAATTTGTTTTTGTAGTTTGACATTATAAGAATGTTCGGGCTTGCATTCAAACAAACCTTTCTTTCTGCAGCTGGCTATGAATATTAAAATCCAGTTTGTTTGTATATCCCTGCATCTTCTTCTCTCTCAGCTTCTGTTTACTTTCTGAAGCTTTTTCCACCTCTGTCCTCTTCTCTGCCTCATCTCTCAGTCTCTCTTCACAATACCTCGCAGCGTGTGCTGTCACCCAAGCGCTCGGTATGCACTTTAGGCATATGACTTATTAAAAATAAGAACTCACAATCACCTCAGGCATTCTCCGTTCACACAAACACACACTCACAGACAGTGCAATGCTTCCTAAATAGAAGATTTCTGTAGAAATGAAAATAAAAAAACAGGTTTAGGAGACACCAGACACAGCTGACACCATACCAGTGAGTCTTGTCCTTGGCATTGGGTCATGTAATGTATAGCAGATGGCCACAGAGAGACAGGCAGAGAGTGAAAGAGACAGAGAGGGGACTCATTGGATTCAGCAGCCTCTAAAGTGAAGCACTGACAGGGTGCGTGTCTAACCACAACACCTTGAACTGAAATGCTTTTACTGCAGGGCATTAAGCTCAGGGTGGGTGGGGGGGAGGGTGATGTCTGGCAGTGATGGAGGTAATGTGATACTGTCAGTAATTGATTGTATGGGTTTTATGCGCTTATGTCGTTCATACTTTTATATTTAGTGACCAATGAGTTAGGATTTCTGTTACGATACGTTAAAGGGTTTTTATTGTGTTGGTACGTGTGCACATTAGTTTATTACACAGCGAGGCGTACATGCTGTGTAATGTGGTTATGTAACGCGGACCTGCCAGCCGGTCGGCCTCACTGGAGCATGAAATGGAGTGTAATTGGTAAGTGTGTGGTCTAAAAGCTCTGTGCAACAATGGCATACGACGTATACACACACAGTGCGTAGTGTGCTGGTGGCATTCAGACAGCTGGGATTCACCTGTTATATGAATACATGTCTGCTTCTGAGTCCTAGAGGGGAGGAATCACAGGCAACCGTTTTTAACCCCTTAGTGTACAGATTCTGTATCATTCATATCTGAGTCCTTGCAATGTTATCAATGCATTATGGCTGTCTGAGCTTTATCAATTTGAATTGCTAGATGTTGAATTATGCAAACACTCTGAAGTGACACTTCCATTTCAAAATGGAGATCTGTCTGCTGAAATAATGTTTAAAAAAATGATATACATCATTACATATAGATTGCAATTATTCAAACATAATTGCCACTTAGAAATCAGGATAAGGAACTTAAAAAAGAAAAGTGCTTGGAGTGGCAATATGGCAACAATATAGGCTATTCTAATGTCTAATAACATGTGCGAGGGTCTTCAGTGCTCGTATTTCTTGCCTCATGCACACTTTTAGTGAAGCTGTTCCTTGGAAGTGAACTCAATTTTCACTTCCAAGGATCGAGCTGAAATCGGACACAGTCTAATTTTGTTGGTTAGTGACACTTGGGTTTGTCACAGGCATTTGGATAGAGATCTATGTCTTATGGCTCTCACTCACACATGCACACAGCATATTGTGTGATTGACCTCGGGGGTTATGTGCCGGTCAGAGTGGATCCAAGGACAACCACACGCTTTTTTTCTTGGAGATTGGAGAATTTTGATGAGTCTTATGAATTACACACAGTCAAGCATTACGTTTGAAGGCTGCCGTGACATTTCCACTCGACCTTTCTCTGAAATTGGTGTGAAACTGTGAAATCCTGCATCAGTTTCTATCTTGGCCGCATTAGCTTACTTATCACGTCACTTGTCTAAATGCCTGCAACATTATCTGGGCAGACTCTGCCCCGGGGGGGGGGGGGGCGATTCCTGTCAGTGAGTCCTCCTTAACTGCTCTGATTTACATGGTGATCAGAGCGGCTGGGCAACAACTCCCCCGTGGTCAAATAATACTGAAACACAAACACACACAGATACACGGACCCTCTTCGCAGTGTGGTTTATAGCTGCAGAAGCTCACATTAGCAACGGCTCATAAAATCCACGTCTGTTGGTCTGTTAAACACTGCTCTGTGAAGGCACACAAGTGTAGAGATACACACAGGATCGTGCATGTAGGAACACACTCCCAGTGACTGCAAAAATAAAATGTTTCTATGAAGACAAGAGGTAAAACACCAGTTGGATACAGTATAAATGACTTATGGCTCAATAAAGTGGTGCATTAATGAGCACTCAAACCCTGAAAAAAGCATTTCACCACTTCCTGTTCCCTCTTCTGGAAGTCAATGGTTTTTTGAACATGTTTGTGGTTAGAAGTCTGAGATAAGGTCCGCGGTTGACACAAGCTGAAGAGATTTGCAAGTTTTGTTCTACGACGGGAAATACTCCAGTAATCACTCCACCTGTGAATGTATACGAAGCTTCTATGTGTCATGAAAGTGACTAACACGTCCTGTTGCCCCTCTTATTGCATGATCATTTTTGACACATGCCTCATCACACTGATGAATATAAACTGATTTAAATTTAAAAAGATTGGCTCGCTGAAACTGTCAAATGGAGATGTGCATAAAAGATAAGATAAGATACAGTGAGATGGAACTTTATTAATCCCCGTGGGGAAATTCAGTAGTTAATGGCGATCATAACAAGATAAGAAGAATTTCAATATTGGAAAATAGTTTTCAGGTATCTCAATTGTTGATGAGTCCCAGCAGTAATGTAGGAGCAGAGATAACAAATAAAAAAACATTGCGGAAAATGTGTGCCACTATACAAAGTGAGCTACACAGGCTGTGATGCTGTGCCTGTCCTCCATTCTGTTAAAAGCTTTATCTCACTCTCTCTGCTGGAAGAGTGTGTCACCAGTTCAATTAGGAATGGGATGAAGTGGGTGAGTGCACGCTGTTGGTCCTTGGATTTCAAGTAGATTGATAGTAGCGCTGGAGCCACACTATCCATATTACAACGAAAAAGGTCATCCCTTCTGTGTGTGTATGAGTGTGTGTGTGTGTGTGTGTGTGTGTGTGTGTGTGTGGTTCCCTTTGAGTAGATGTGCATGTAGCGAATAAAGGGAAATGTGGGTCTTGTAGATAAGCAGCGTCTTGAGAGCAGCCTCTTCATGTTGAACGTACCTCAGGCTCCCCGGCATAGTGCAAAACCCCCCTAATGATTCAAAATGAACCTCATTCTTTAGATTCATGTTACCAAGTGATGATGTAAACAATACCGTGTAAACATAATTATTTCTCTCAGATATTATATCATAAAAAAACACAGACAGAGTGAAGGAAGAGACAAAAAGCCGGACAAAGCCAAACTGAATTACAATGATCAAGATTCATTCAAATCAATGCCTGTGTGATCTATGAAATATCACAACAGCAATAAACAAAGAAAAGATCATTTGAACAGAAATGTTAAAAAGCAAATGTGTTTTGCTGTTATATGTTGGATCTTTTAAATCCCTCTCAATGTTATTTTGCTTATTGTCCCATGATGTATCTCTACATGGCCGCTTAAGATTCACTGTTGTATCAGTTTTATATAACATTACATATGTCTATACCCAATGGTCAGATGTTTAGATATTCCCTCCCATTAAAAGCCACCTGCTGACATGCTGTGACATATGAAAGAGGTAAACAGATGACATATAGTTCACACTGAGATTTCATATAAATGCACAGGGACCCATCTGGATGGTATTAATTGCAGAGTGTGCGACTCACAAAGGCCTCAGCTGCACCTGCTCCTCTCCTTCATCTCTTCCCTTCTCCATCCGTCTTTGAATCCGTCCTCCCCTGCTGCAACCGTTTTATGTCCTTTTTCCCTTTTAAACATGCTGCACTGTTCCCACAGCCCTCCTCTGCCCCTTCTGTTTGATGTTGTTTACTCTCCCACCTGATCTCCTCCTTCCAGCGTGTTTCTCCTCCTACCTCCCAGAGAGTGAGCAGGAGCAACTCAGAACAAATCTAATAGCTGACATAAATACCCAGGCCATAAAGTCTGATTGAAATATGACAGGTAGTGAGGATTTGAGGAGGATGGTCAGATGAATTCCTGATGTGTGCATGTGACCATGCATGCATGTCAGGGTCAGGGCCATTACATGGAAGCTGTCACTGAGTTAACATTTGATTTGTTTACCATAAAAGAGATTAATGTTCAGTCTGCACCAAAGCAACCCATAAAGAAGCCATTTGTACGTGCGCTTAGTGGGACAGTAAGCGTGTTTGTCCTGAATTTATTTTGCTGTTCGGTTGTGGTGCCAAGTATTTTTGCAAACGGTGTGTGTGATTTCAGGCAGGGGAGATTAAAGCTCGATTTGATGGATTAAAGCTCCACCTGTCCCTCCAGTTGTGTCCTTGCTGTGTGTATTTGTGTGTGTCCAGGTGTGTGTGTGCCTCTTTTCTGTTTTTCGCAATTTAATCAGAATGTGCATTATATATTTGTACTGACTTCCTCATTCTTCTTCTGTTCTTTCCAGAGGTCCTTCCGGTCCTTCAGTAACGATGACCGCCATGTCATGGCGAAACACTCCACCATCTACCCCTCCTCACAAGAGCTGGAAGCCGTTCAGACGCTGGTGTCCACCGTCGAGTGCGCCCTCAAACACGTCTCTGATTGGATGGATCACTCCAACAGCGACGCCCACAGCCAGGTGGACAGCCAACCAGCAGACAGCACAGAGGAGGACAATCCAGGTGACAAGCCCAGCGAAGAAACGGAGGATTCCAGCGACAGCTACAGGTGGAGTAGAATGACAAATACTAGACATGATACTAATGACTCTATTGAACAGATTGATCATATTGCCTACAAACTGTCTAAATCTTGACTTGAGGTGAGAGGCTATTGCTTGTTTTCTCTTACTAAAAATGTTACTTAATAGTTTATCTCTTTGTGAAATACACACATTTTGCTTTCTGGCATAGAGTTATATGAACAGCAGGAGCATGTGCAGCTCCGGAGAAAATTAACTGAACCAACCACTTGACAATCTCTGGGCACTGCACCATGGTCCGCTATCTTCATGAATCTTTTATTAAGGGTCCACTACTTTCTCATTAATGTCTTAAATTGTCTCGTCAGATCTCATTTTTACAATCTTAACTGGCACGTTGTATTTTTAATCTTTTAATCATGCAGCTACTCACCAGAGATTACATCAAATACTTATTCATATTAAGATATTCTTTGTTGTGAGTCGTGGGATTATATTGGAAAAAAGAGGTTGAAAATGTTCTATAAAGAATGCAGACCTCTGCCAAGGCTGTTTCTATAAGTCCTTCCCTAAATCCTTAATTGAATGGGCGTGGCCAATTCTACAGTTTTCATGAACATCGGGCTAGTAGCTTTTCATAATCTGCTTACAAAGAGACATACAAACCACAACCATAACCTCCTTGTCTTAGATTAATAAAAAAAAGTAATTGACCTTACAGTACATTAACAACAACAACAAAAATCAGGATGCAGAATTGTCTACCCTATAAGCTTGAAATATGTTTGTCTTTACAGTCAAATCAACATGAGTTACTAATGTTACCTGTCATTCATTTTCCCATTGAAAAACAGAGAGCCCACTAATGGTGCCGTGCTGTGTGGAGTAATGAGGATCGGCCTGGTGGCCAAAGGCCTCCTGATCAAAGGAGACATGGACCTGGAGCTGGTGCTGATGTGCAGAGACAAACCCACACAGACACTGCTGGACACTGTCTGTCAACATTTACCCACACAGATAGAGGTTAGAGACACAGACGCACACTCACGTTCATGCTTCTCTTACACACTTCTTGCTAACGCACACGATGCAACTGCAAAATGTAATCTAAGAAACTGTAGTTGTATTGTACCTTCCTCTCCAATGTCAGATATCAAAGCTCCCATATTATGATGTGCAGATGTAGAGAGAAGCGTTGTGAGTGTTGGCGTAACTAGGCAAGAGACTGCAATGCCGTCAAGTGAGAAGTGGAGAGTGGTGTTCGTATGTATGAGTCAAGTGTGATTAATGCTCTTGTCACTGCTTCAGTGTCATGTTTCCTCATTAACAAGTCCTGGCACAGAAAAACAAAACACACTGATCCTTCACTTTTACTCCTGTATTTCGCTGGTAATTTTGAATGATCTAGGGATTGAAAGGTTTAGACTGTTTTCCTAAAGTAGCTCCTAAAGATAAGAGGCCTTTTTTTAAATCCCTTGAGACATTTGTCAGCTCTATCAAGGCAGCTTTGAGTTCACAAAAATCTGTCAGAGGGGGAAAAATGTGCAATAACCTGACGTGGTAAAACTCCACGACCTGGGCGGCTAGTGCAGAAATTACTCAATGAATACATTCTGCCTCGGTGCCTCTTCTCTGCCTGTTCTCTTTAGCAGTTAAGTGGTGTGAGGGAGTGAACGACAGATAGTGTGTGTGTGTGTTTTCTGAGTGTGTGGGTAGGGAGGTAATCTCATGTCTCAGCCCAGTGACCAGAGATTCTGATTTTCTCATCAGGGGCAAATGGGATGTAGATGGACCCTCTGCGACTCACTGCTCACTTAAGCAGTGTTAGAGAAACACACACACACACACACACACACACACACACACACACACACACACACACACACACACACACACACACACACACACACACACACACACACACACACACACACACACACACACACACACACACAGACACAGACAGACACTTGTTTTTGTTGTGTGGGAGGACACAGCATTGCCTTACATGGATGTCCTGGAAGCTTACTTTAATCTAAGCCCTAACATAAGTGATGGACCTTCTATGGTTCAGTTTTGTGCCTCCACATTGGACCTAAGTTCTCATAATGTGACTGGATGACAGATTTATTGCCCAACAATGTAAGAAATGCAAACACACACACTTAAACAAACACATCGTCTGCTAGAAAATAGCGCCAGAGCAGCATATGCGAGGTACAACAGAATCAAACACACATATACTCCTTCACTTGTTTACTTCATCATCTTATTCAATATTTAGAGTTATGGTTTCAACTGCATTTGTGAGTCTGTGTGTGCCTGTTTCTGCCTGCGGGGTTGTGTGTGTTGATGTGAACATTCCTTTAAGTGTGTTAGTGGGCGAGTCTGCAGGTCGTTGTGGCAGTGGTTGTTGTCCCATTCATTCTTGTTTGTAGGCACGTGTGCTGAAATGCATTTGTACCGAGTAACAAATGTGGCCGCTGTGAATACTGACATGAATTCATTATCTTCAGTACTTCTCAGTCCTGACCACAGAGGTCAGCAGTAATTGATTGCTTTAGAAAGCGGGGCTGAATGGAGCATCGTGAACATTTCAATAGAATTTCACAATGCATGTCTGACACTGAGAAACAATGTAAACAGACACACACGATGGTTACAATGCCTCGATAATTCAGAAAGAGCTTGCACCAGTCTTGGTAATACAGTATACACACTATTACTTCACCTTTCAAGAGTTTTGTGTCCTCTTATCATTAGATGATTTCATTTTACAGTTTTTATTCAGAGCCCTTTCTTCATTTGCGTATTGTTATAAATACTTGGAACAGGTCTTTGTTTTGCCAATTATAATCTGTGGATAGGCAAGTTGAAGACACTTCTCACATTTCAAAAAGAGGCTTTCATTCAGGGTCACATCTAAGATACCAGAATAAAATAATATCCCCAGATACAGTATTTGCAATGCTAATGTGTTGTTTCTCATGTACAATATTCACTTGATAGTTCTCCTGTCATTCCTGGTGATATTAAATGTTGAAGCAGCGTCAGGCTCAGATATATTTGCTTCTTTTCCATCTGCACGGAGTCATGTTGTGACCTTGGCCTCTGACCATGCAGTTATGTCTGTCTGACACATGACAGAAGCTGACAGAAGAGAAATGCGAGGTCACGAGCTCCTTGCCCGAGGCGGCCATATTGGTACGAACGACAACAGAGCCCAAACTCACACTGACCATCACCCTCACCTCGCCGACCATGAGGGATGACGAGGAGGAAGAGGAGGAGGAAGAGGAAGAGTTGGAGAATGGGGAGGAAGGACATGAGGAGGAAGAGGCGGAGGCGGAGAAGGAGGAAGTGGAGGATGAGAAGGTGGAGGAGGAAGAAGAGGAGAAGAAGAACGGGCGAGGTAGGAACACATCAGTTGTAGTTTTTCCCGCTATTTTTAACACACATCCCACTTTGTATAATATTTATATAGAACTGTTTTTATTTCAAGCCAACAAAATGGCATGCCCTCTTTAACTTCTGCTGACACAAGACGGCTACAGGACACATTCCAGAGCTGAAGCCTGGTGTTCAGTCTAATGACCATCCCCCCCCACACGTTTTCAGGGGGTAGCAGGAGCTGATTATAATTGGTTGTGGGAGGTGGGACGGCGAGGCAAGGCCAGAGAAATCAATAACGGAGCAGTAGCAAGCTGCCCATCCATCCTGTGGCTCCCGTCCAACTAGACACTCAGGTCTCAGAGAGAGATGAGAGATAGAGCTGAGGTCAGCCGTACGTCATGCCAAGGCAAGACGGAGAGGACCGCTCGTATTTTTCTCTTTAAGAGGCATGCACACGCAACACACACGGAGCAAGAGACACTTTTATTTTGTCCCAGAGGGATAAAGATACCTGTCACACTGGATGTCTAATTGCTACTAATTTGTCAAGGCACCTGTAGCGGTTAAGAGATGTGAGCCAATATGACTAATAGGGTCTCATCATTAAAGGCAGGGTCTAACACCGTAACACATTAACACATTTATTGATAGTCAGATACACCAGTGGTGCTGTCCAATGTCTCACCTCCTCCTGCTCTCTTAAAGCATCAACAGCAATGTATAATGTACACAATGTCTTTTTTCTGGAAGGAATTTAATATATTTAATTAAAATAGTGCTTGGTTATGTTTATCTGCCACACAAATCAGTCACCCTGTATATCATGGGTACTGTGTTTGATTTGATACATTTTACATTATGTATGTTCATATATTTGCTTTTAAATATAAGTTATTTAATCCTTGCGTGCTCTTTAAGCTCAGATACAGCTGGCTTCTTTGGGTGGTCACAGAGAGTGGGATGTAGGGTGATGTGACAGTAAATTAAAGGAGACACAGCAGCAAAGGGATATTTTTCCAATCAGTCTGAGGGAGAGGATGGCGTCAGTAACACAGAAGGAGATAAAGAAAGAGCGCTAAGTGAGGCAGCGGCCGGCAGATCGTTTGAGAGAGCAGCGGGAGGACAAGCAAGCGAGACGAGAAAGGCTGTAATGATCCACTAGCTGCAGAGCAATCCCAAATGCAGCTGGGATCACTGACAGACCTTGAGATACACCATTATACATCACAACGTAACACGAATGCACACACCACTGCATTCATAACACATAGGGGAAGAGCTACGCCGTGATAATGGCCATATGAGTCCAGGAAATAATGTGAAATAGATGTCATCTTGCTCGTGCTACTACACATCGGACACATCTGACATTTCAACGTAATACCTCTTTAGGGAAGGATTGTCTTTTCACGGGAAAGTGATGAGGAAAATATTTACCTAGTTGTGTTTTCAGAGAGACCCATAGGGCTCTTTAGTGTGTTTTATGTCACTAGCAGTAGGTCCCGCTCACAATAAACCCTCTCCAGAAACACCATGTAACCGCACTCATTCATACACAGCTGCGTTTGATTCAGCTCGCCTTGCACACCGTAGATTTTGTGTTGACTTGGAGAATTGGAGAGAGCGTGGTAACTCAACCGTCCTGGCGTGCTCGGCGGCATGAATCAAACGCATACATATAAAAAGTGCAATGATGCTCCTTTTTTTTTTACCAACCACGATGCTCTGACTAAACCCTTGCCTTGATCCTTCCTCTGTGTTGTGTTTGTCTGACACTGGGTCAAACTATCTTAGATTTTTTTTTTCCTTTTAGTTCTACTTTAGAAATGCTTGATTCTTCATTTGCCCAGAAAGGGAGTTGAATTGCTTTCTCTGCACCATTTCTATATGAGCCCGTGAAATCAAGTGCACCTTAAGTAATCCAGAAGAAAAAAAAAAAACTCCTATTTTGTCTCCTGCCTGGTGCAGACTGGATCAAAATAAACGAAATCCTCCTCAAATACGTAAAGGAGAGGTTGATTTACCTTGCTGGGCACAGCCAAATGAATGGATGTGTCCCAACAATGCCCTCACATTAAATCAAACACTCCTTAAGTATTTGTCTATGTCTGGGGGGGGGGGGGGCTTTCCATCTCACAAAGTTGTCTCTTCTCTTGTGACCCTGGTTGCTGACTTGTCAGTGACTGGATGGTTGTAAACTACTAACTCACGGTTTAATAGTGCGTGTAATTTCTAGCACATATTCATACAAGCAACCTGTATTAATATGGGTTAAGATGTCAACATGTGATGCAGTCAACACTAATAGACTGATCACAGTGTTGAAAATGACACAACCTGTAGAGAGACAGCGCTTCTTTCTACAAGGAGAGGAACAACTTTATGGCATGCAAAGCACCTTGTATGTACCAACAAAAATATCCATGCATTTGTGTGTGTATGTTTGCTCTCACACACAATTCCAAGTGTGTCTGCACACATTCACACACGCACAGTTCAAACACACACACTCAGACCTGACGTGTGTGTGTTTCACGTTCTCTATATCGGGTTGTTATTGTTTTGTGGCAGTGTTGGGTGCTGCTGCGCAGAGAGTGGAGGCTGAGGAGGAGGAGGGGGAGGTGCTGGATAGACACAGATGTCTGTTGGCCCTGGCAGCGCTGCGACACGCCAAGTGGTTCCAGGTCGGCACCCACTCACTTCCTGTCTTCCTGCCCGGTGCTTATTGTAGCCTGACGATTCACCCAGAGGCCAGACACTCACTGTCACATAACACTGTGGGGCTTTATTTATGCTCACACAGATTAAGTTAATCCACAATAGATAGGAGGGTGACACAATTAGATAGAATAATTGCAAATTATGTTCAACATGAACAAAAAGGGATACATATTACATCATTATACTATATTTCAAATTCTCCAAATCTGTATTTTTTCCACATACAGTATATAGACTATAGGTGTTAGATGAATCGTAAGGCTACAAAAGCAATGGTTGATACTTGTTTTTCTTTTTGGCTATTATGTGAACCTGCCTGCTCTGTACAGTATGTCAATGCTTCCCTTTGATTCCCCTCCCATACCCTTCCCCATCTATCTCCCACCTCACTTACCTTACTGACAACATTGTAGTTCAGAATTAAGGTATTTTCTAAAGGTAAAGACCAAACAAATATTATTATTTCTGAAATACTTTTTGTAAAACATGCCAGTGATTTAAATTCATAACGTTAAGTGTCTTAAAAGTGGGATAGTTATTCTCTGTGGGGTTTTAGACGGATATAATCACTTCATGATGTGTCTTTGTTGTGGACAACAGGCTGTTTATCTAACTGTGTTTGCACAAATACCCCTCCTCCTGTACTCAATTTCCTTCTTCTCCCCCCCCCCCCCCCCCTCCATCTCCTCGGTCGCTCTCAGGCTCGAGTGAACGGGCTTAAGTCCTGCGTTATCGTTCTCAGGATACTTAGAGACATGTGCAATAGACACTCCGTCTGGGAACCTCTCAAGGGATGGGTGAGTGTTTGCTGTAATGACCTGTTCAGCCCTCTTGAACTTTAATACACTTGTATGCTGACATTTGTGCATTTTTACACAATGTTACTCATCTTCCTACTCTAATGGGAGGTCCATATTGTTACTGGAATTTTAAGAAGTGTGCCCACAATCATCCATAGTTGAACTGGTTGGCGCATACAAGTATATAGTCCAGTGTACACTATATAACAGATCCTCATTATGGTCTCTAGATGTGATGTTAATCTTGAAAAAAAAGTATGTTAAGTGAGAAAACGTGGATCCAACATCTAATAGATAAAAAATAAAGTAACTGTTGAAACAAAAATATCACAGTAAGCAACAGATAGATATGCATTTTTTGTTGTTGATATAAGTCAGTCATGTTTTATCACATATTACAATAATTGTTATTTTTTAGAGCTGCATTTTCATAGTTGTGTTTGTGTGTGTATTCCTGCAGCCCTTAGAGCTTATCTGCGAGAAGGCAATCGCCACCTGCAACAGACCTCTGGGGGCCGGAGAAGCCCTGCGTCGAGTCATGGAGTGTGTGGCCTCAGGCATACTGCTACCAGGTATGGAGCCTAGTGGATGCATGCATATACAGATGGGCAGATTAGAGCAATCCACACTGAAGAATGTGGGTTTTTATGCAAATTGGCCTCGCTGGTGGATATCGCAAGGGACGATGAGCTGATGCGTGGAGGCTCTGCTTGGCACATTTTAGAGCTGCTTCTGTGAGAGGTCGAGACATCATCAATGACCCAGCAGAGCGCAGCTGTCTGAGGAAGGTCATCATTACATGAGCCTTTTCATTAGGAGCAGCTGAAGGGGTTTCTGTTACCAAATGTTGTGCATCTTTGGCAGGAATTCAATTATTCAGAAGTACGTGAAGGCTGAGTTTCATTTGACTTAATTTGAGAGATGTGGAGGCAAAAGCAAGTTATGTCCCACTAGACTGAAGCCAATTAAGGTTCTACTTAAGAAAGCACTGAGATGTCTTTTAGAATATGTTAAAAGATAAATAAGCGGTATTTGAGAATGATTAACAAAATGCAAAACAATAAACAGCTCTAGTTTATTTTACAAAGAATGTGCCAACTAGTAGTAGATTATTTATTCAAAGTTTGTGTCACACTTAAAGTTTGAAGGGTTTTACCTTTGTATGTTAAGTGACTGGTTTGAATACCTCACAGGCAAGATGACCAGGTACATTTTCCTATAGCTCCTGTTGTTGTCCACTTTAATTGTCAAGATTCCTGTCGTCACTTGTTTAATGACAGTGAAGTGAAGCTTAATTAAATGTCGCCGAGCTGCAGTGACAGAGCGCAAAGTGACAACAACTGACTTTGTGTTCCTGTCGCTTTCCCCCAGGTGGTCCAGGTTTACACGACCCGTGTGAGAAAGAGCCAACCAACACACTAACCAACATGACAGACCAGCAGGCTGAGGCCATTACCTGCCGTGCACAGGTACACACACACACACACACACACACACACACACACACACACACACACACACACACACACACACACACACACACACACACACACACACACACACACACACACACACACACACACACACACACACTTGTTATCACCCAGCTGCATTTGCCCTGAGCTGTCAGTTTGTGGGAATCAGGAAGCAACATGCCTATTACCAGACAGAAAGACCCACCACCACCCAAACCACTCAAAACGCATGCACACACACACTTGTTCGAGCGTGCACGTCTTCAGAGCCGTGTGGTGCTGAATTTTAACGATCGTGTGGGAAACTATTGCCATTGCTAGCCATAAATCCATCCCTGACACCCCGAGGACAGCATTTTTGTGCATGCACTTCGGGCGTGCGTGCCTCCATGTCCTTCCTCACACACACACTCCACTGAGCAGGGCAGCCTCTGAGCCGCATTGGCTTAGTGAATCCTGCCGTCCATTTCCTTTGAAGGCAGCCTGAACGAGGCTTGAATGTCAATGGGGATAATTGTAACGGAGCAGATACAAGAGTAGATAGAGGAGAGGGAGCTCCGTCAATGAGCTGCGTGGAGACTCATGAATATCTGAGACACTCCACCTCCCTAATGGCTTTGTATTAGCAGAGCCACTGTCGCCCATTCTGCGTGTCCTTCCGATTGTTTGTATAAATTGAGTATGTGTAAAGTAGATTCGAGAAGGATAAATGAACTATCTTTGAGCACAAATGTGATGGTCTGTGTTGCAAGATAGCTCAAGGTGGATTTTATACACGTATATTAATGCAATTATCTGACAGATTCGGAGCACATTTACATACATTCATGTTTGCACAACTGCTTCTGTGTTCAGACGTGGCCTTCTTACATTTGCGAAGATGAATATCAGCCTGAAGACTCTTGATGTCTTGTCTGTCTGTTTTTCAACCAGAATGTAAAAACTCCTGCTTTATCGGCTTTATTTTATTAGCACTTCAAGTTCCTACAGAACTGACCCTTTATCTCAATAAGACGGCTGTAGAAGTTGATTATTTGACTGTTTGTCTGTACAAAGCTTATATTGTGGATACATGGAGCAAACTACTGGGCATTTACTCATCATTGGTCTGTGTCATGACTCAAATTTAAAGGGAGGAAAATGTTTTCAATGTATTTCATTCCATAACATTCCATTTAAAGGGCAAACCCAACGTTTTTTTTTCGAAAACTGGAGGTCTGTTGTTGTTAACCCTTAGATGCATAAGTGGGTCTTTTTGGACCCGGTGAGGTGGTTTTCTTGAAGTATCTTTGTAATTACATTTTTTTATCATTTCATATTCCAGCTATTCCTCAAAAAACATGTTTTGGATATCATGCCATTCACATTTTAAGAAATTGTAGTTTTTGTATTTCTACCCCAAGCTTCCATAAGTGGGTCAAAGATGACCCGCATGCATTTTCTATGGGATCCTATGGGAACCTTTGATTCTTATCACCTGTGGCTCAGGAATACATTCACTGTAGACCACACAGACTACATCACAAGTGACACCTCTCAGGAAGATTATTTTACACAGCAAGATCTGATACCTGTCAGTATAATAATAATAATAATAATACATTATATTTGTATAGGGCTTTTCAAGGACTCAAAATCGCTTTACAATATAAGGGAAGGTTAGGGTGGGGGGTATAGGACTATCAAACTTGATCAACTGGCATGGATTGATGGGGGGGGTGGGCTATGAGTAGACAAGAGGAGAAGAGATGAGTTTTGAAAAGGGACTGGAATACTGTGAGGGTCTCAGAATAGCGGAGATCTTTGGGACAATATGTTCAAAATGTTTTTTTTCAAAATGTAATTTTTTTTCTCCTAAAATGATAAATTATGAAAAATGTAATATAAAATATTTCTAGTGTGAACCAAAATATAATACTAAATATTATACAAGTGATTTTTCTTAACCAAAATGACAAAAATGGCATAAAAACACCTATTATTCTAATACGGGTCCTTTTAGACCCACTTATGGAAGAGTGTAGGGTCCAGTCACTTGTGCATCTAAGGGTTAAAAAGTTAAATGATGGGAAATGTTGGACCCAACTTCAAGTACTGTAAGTGGTAGAATTCCTCTGGTTTGAATGTATCTTCCCTATATGTTGCCTTTTACAGCATGCCCTGAGACTCATGGCATTCGGACAGATCTACAAGGTGTTGGAAATGGACCCTCTTCCCTCAAATAAACCATCACATAAATACCCTTGGTCAGACAAAGAAGGTATGTCCACCTGCCTGTAAATCTGTTTGTGTAAATGGCTTGTCAGTCTGTTGTTCTCACATGGAAACTATAGCATACTATGAACATAGATTGGACTTGCCATCAAATCTTTTCACTTATCACATGAGCTTTCTGGATGCATTTGATGTTTTTAGCAGCACTGTCAATATTCTTGACATGTGAAGCACCACAAAAAAACGAGGTATTGCAGATATTGCCTCTTTATTTCCCATCTTTCAGCGTGTTAGCCAAAACATGCCTAGCCTTGGTGACAATACATGAAAATGTGCAACAAGAGAAAGTTGGCACATCTTTGAAGCCATTTCAAAGAGAATTGACTCAAGACTTTTGGCGCCTAATGATGCCAACATGGACATTTGCCAGAGCATTTACAGATTAAGATTCATGTAGGAAAGGAGCTTATATGTCTTTGTCATTGTTGACTGTTGCTGGTCTGCATGTCTATTCTGTTGATCTTGTCTGTGAGTTTATTCATCTTCATGCTTCTTTTCCCAAAGTCTTTGTCTTCTCTGCCTCTGTGTGTTTTCTCATGCAAACATCTCTTGTAGTTACTCATTGATTGGTAACTTCCTCCATCTTTCTCTCCAGGTTTGGGTCTGAAAAGGCCGTATGAGGATGGAGCGATGGATGACAAAGACCTCATCAAGAAGATGAAGAGGAATCTAAGAAAAGGTACGAGAAGTAGGGAAGGACGAGCAATTGTGTAATTACTTTCTTGTGCGTCTTTCTTTTAGTCCTCAATTATTTTTGAAGTGTGAAGGAAAGTATGCATTTCAAGAAATTCACAACAAAATAAATCTCATTTTACAAAAGTTTAATTTAGCATTGAATTGTATTTATTTGAATTCAATCCGATAAACAAAGCAGTGCCATGAGATGTAGCTAATCATATTCCGTAACCACAGACAAGGTTTGCTTCTCTTCCCCGTCTGCTTTTCTGCCTTCCACCTTAGGGGCAGATCAATAGTATTGATTTCAAACGTTTTAGTAGGCCACCCAACCGTCCCCAGATCTTTTTTCATACAAGGAGAAGACGAATCAAGGCTAATGGAGACAGAGAGGCATTTTTAGATATTGGCCAAGTGGAGCAAAGTGATTGAAAAGGAGAGAAAATAGAGAGGCACCTTTTATTCATCATAAAAACAACCGACGAGTGTGCGGGAAACCTTTGAGAAAATGTGATTTATTGGGTACAGTGTCCCTGAATTGGGCCAGTCTGTCCAATTAGGGCTGGTTAATCAGTACATCCCCTGTGAAACCCTAATACATCTATCCTAATATGCCCTACTTGTAACCATTCCTCTCACTTTTTTTTACATTAGTCCTAGACAGTAAAGCCATAGACTCCAACCAGCCTATGAACGCCCTGATGCGGTTGAACCAGATCCGGCCGGGGCTGCAGTACCGCCTGCTGTCCCAGTCGGGCCCGGTTCACGCTCCAGTCTTCACCATGTCCGTGGACCTCGATGGAACCATTCACGAAGCCTCTGGATCCTCCAAGAAGACCGCCAAGCTGCACGTTGCTGTCAAGGTAAGAGGGGAAATGAGGGAAGAGGATAAAGTGTGCCAGATGTGTGTGTGTGTGTGTGTGTGTGTGTGTGTGTGTGTGTGTGTGTGTGTGTGTGTGTGTGTGTGTGTGTGGTGTGTGTGTGTGTGTGTGTGTGTGTGTGTGTGTGTGTGTGTGTGTGTGTGTGTGGTGTGTGTGTGTGTGTGTGTGTGTGTGTGTGTGTAGTGTGTGTGTGTGTGTGTGTGTGTGTGTGTGTGTGTGTGTGTGTGTGTGTGTGTGTGTGTGTGTGTGTGTGTGTGTGTGTGTGTGTGTGTGTGTGTGTGTGTGTGTGTGTGTGTGTGTGTGTGTGTGTGTGTGTGTGTGTGGAGATAGAGGTGGGCAAATCCATGTAATCCCAAAGTGGTTGTGAACAAAGAGGCTCTCCAGAGCACAGAGCCAGGATAATCCTCTCTCCGCTCCATTCCCATAAAAGGCTCTTTCTCCCCCTTTTCCATTCTCCTTCTGACTCTCTCACTTTCTTTCTCTCGTGTGTTCACCTTTTGATCTCCCCCTCTCACCCTCACTTTCTCCACCCCCCTCTGCATTGGCTGGTTCAGCAGCTGTAACACAGTCACCCATTTGAGTCAAAAAAGGTGTCATTCTTCTATCCTCTTCTCGGCTCATATTGTTTGGCTGCTCTGTCTGCTGAATAGACTTCCAGTAGACTCATACCGCTTTAGTCTGTGTTGCCAATCTATTGTAATGGCTTTAATTTAAGCTTTGTGTGACTTAAATTAAACTATGTCGTGTCAGTACTGCAGTTGCTCGCTTGTTAGAATATAGTCATTAACACATTTAAAGATGTGTCCATTTCATTCTTATTGGAATGAATGTCTCCGTGGAATTATGTTCTTCAATTAGTAAATCTATCTCATTCCATTAAGTGTGCTAAACTATTTTACACACACTCTAACACTATCTTGATTGTGTATAAGTACAGTAGTGAGACAATGTTGATTTCAAAATGTACAAAAACAACAAACTAAAATATATTGATGCAGATAGCGGTAAAACACAAGTTGTTAAAAAATCTCCCCGCATTCGTTTTTATTTGATCATGCTGTTCCCTCTCCAGGTTCTCCAGGCTATGGGCTACCCAACAGGGTTCGACTCAGACCTGGACCCCATGAGTTCAGACGAGAAGTCGGACGGGGAGGGGAAGAGCGACACGTCATCACACACGAGCAATAACCCAACACACACCTCGGACAATTCCAACGCACTGGAGGTGAGGATTGAGGAACAAGGGTTGATACAAAACTGCACACACTCAAATGCTTTTTAATGTCTCGGAATGAAAAATAAACACTTGTGTTCAAGCTCTTCAAAACATACAGTTGTGCTCACTAATACACTATACTTTTAAATGATAAGACTTGAATTATCTCCCCAGGTGCGAACTCAGGGTCCGATACTGACGGCGAGTGGGAAGAACCCCGTCATGGAGCTAAACGAAAAGAGACGAGGCCTCAAATACGAACTCATCTCTGAAAGTGGAGGCAGTCACGACAAACGCTTTGTTATGGAGGTGAGCTTCACAGTGCCTATGAAACATGTATATGTGTAAGAGAGTATATTTCTTTATGCACATGCCATTTAGCCATGGGGAGAAACATACACAGGGCACACACACACACACTCGGAAGCAGGCTGATCTCCGGTTGTGTCAATCAGTCAGCTTGGTTCATGGAGCAGGCCTGTTCTCTGTGGGGTGTGTTGTTTTCCGACATGCCTGGCCGCTCCATCGCTCCGCTGATTGATTAGCAAGGCTGCCTGACAGCAGGGCCTCGCTAAACAAGCCGTCCTGTTCAGCCAGACTCGCTGGCTGAGTAAGTCATGACTGGAAAATAAAGCATGGGTTTTGAAAAGATTGATTGTGCAATTGTTAGTTTTGTTAAAGCTGTGTTATATGGGGAAACCACTAATAGAAGTGATAATAAAACTAGAGAATTCTTTTAACCAGATGCACAAAATGCAAAATGTTCCTTTTGTCCATATGTTACCTTCTTTATGTGTGTGTTTGTGTGTGTCCATGTCAGGTGGAGGTTGATGCACAGAAGTTTCGTGGGGCAGGCCCCAATAAAAAAGTAGCAAAGGCCAGTGCTGCTCTAGCGGCTCTAGAAAAACTCTTCTCTGGTCCAAATGCAGCTGTAACCAAGAAAAAGAAGATATTGCCTCAGGTAAGGAAACACACACACACATACACACATACAGTACATACCAGACACTGCTTCCATATGGGGCTTTAAAGCAAACCGTATAAAATCTATGATCAATACAACCTGTAGCAGTCTTTCTCATGAGCCAAACTGTCCATGCAGCTTTAAAGATGATAACGTTTAAATGTCTTTTTTATTCTGTGGAGCAATTATTCCCACTTTGTTCACTCGTCAGTTATTAGTGGCACTGGGATCCATACGTTATCTAGATCACAGTTTATCACACCGTTATCAGATCACAGTTTATCACACCGTTATCAGATCGACATTTTCCCTCCTGAGTTCTCACTGAGCCTGTGTGCATGCTGGTTTGTAAAACAGCATGTCTTTGTGCAGACAAAAGGAGTCCTGGCGGCCGCGGCAGCCGCCTCAGCAGTAGCAGCTCAGGTCGCCCGAGGAAGAGGAAGAGCAGCCCTCGCGAGAGGAGCCTTCGTCAGCGCCGCCGCACCAGGATATGTCACTCCAGGTAGTGAGATCTTATGTGAGATATGAAAGATTACAGCTATTCGTACTGATGGTATTTCCTTTATGTTGGTGCATTGTTCAATAATATACAAATCATTTCAAATACCCTTCAATTTTTGTCTTTTTGTTTTGATTTCTGATCAGAATTTTATGAATTATCAGTTATCAGAATCAGAATCAGAAACAGAATCAGAAACAGGTTTATTACCAGGTAGGTTTACACGTACGAGGAATTTGACTTGATGTCATGGTGCATACATAAAAAATAACATTAAATATTATAAATAATTAAAAATATAGTAAAATACTGCACTATTTACATAGAAATAGAATGGAAAAAATAAATAAAATATGTAATAAAATTCGGTAGTAATAAAAAAAATAGTGCTGAATTTTCACTAATATTATATATTATAATATATTCACTAACCCTAATGCGTGTCAATGAGGGAATATACAGTATCTAATCAGGTAGGGGTTTTAGCTTCACCTCAGGTATTCCAACCTTTAACCACAGCTATCTGCTAGAGTGCAGAAACACTGATCTAATCTCACTGAAGATGTTGAAAAATGCAGCCTGGAATTGAAAGTGCGCAATTGAATTAGACCCTGTCGCCCCTTCCCCAACAGGCTTTGGGGCACCGTATGGCTACAGCCCCGCTGCAGCAGCTGCTCCTGCATACGGTATGTGCTTCTTCTTTCCCGTCAACTCATTTCACCTTCTTTCTACCGTCTTAAAGCTTCTTAACATCTCTTCCCTCTTAACCAGTAAATTCCCTTTTAACCCAACATAGCATAGTGGGTTTGTTAATTATTCAGTAGGTTTATATTACACTAACCGTTCTTCTCAACCCTCTTTTGCTTCAAAACTTGATCCCATTTGATTCCATGTTGTGGGATTTGGCGCTGAGCTTCAATAACAACTAATTCAAGCTTAAACTGTCGCCTCTTTGTTGCATAATTCAAGCTAATCCATCAGCACTTTGGCTTATTGCCCGCTCAGCACTTTCTTCATCTTACTCACTATCTCATCTCATATGGGCTGAAACCAATCATGACACAAACATGCACTTATTGAATTCAAATAGAAAAGAGTCGAAACTCTAACTAAGCTTTCCTGCGCTGATAATAACCCAGACTTACTCTCCGTACTGCTGCATCTTCATTTCTGTTGAGATGAGCAGAGTGTCACTTCCTCACTTTACCAGCTGTTATTTAAGACAAGGGAGGTCAGCTCCTGTCATGTTACTGCTGCTCCAGGGTTTCTATGTCCTCACTGCTGAAAGTGCCCACTGCGCTCCCTCCCACACACACATGCATAGGCTCAAATCTATACTAGTCCTTGACCTTTGACAGCATCGGTATTGGTGCAAAAACCACTCACACATGTGTCCCTCTGTCACACACAGTCACATTTACTCCCACAGACTAAGCCTTGTGCAGTGTGTGCACACATGGGAGGCCTCTCAGCTTTGAATGAGTCTTATGTGCTAAGAGAAACTGATCTGGGGCCCCCGGCAGACGTCTAGTACCCTCCTGAGGTCCCAACAGCCCTGAACATAAAGTGAGCCTCCGTTTCACTGTTTATGGTGGAGCTCTGCATTCATTCGGTTTCAATTCAATCCCTGGGATCTGCATTATTTATTAAATGTAATTGTGACCTTAATGAAATACTCAAAATCCAATCTAACAAGCACATTAAAGTGACTTTTATAACTATTTCTTTAACTTGTCTTTTTAAGTAGCCTATTTGCCATGACATCCAATATATTTGGAGAGGCAGTCAGTTAGGGCCATCGTGCCTGGCCGATGAAAAGACTTGGCGATGAAATGCAGTGTGTCTTCAGTGGGAGTGATGAAGAGTTATTGGTATCTCACGGTTTGCTTCTCTGCCCCGGTGAATCATCAGAACATTTCACGCACCATGGTGGGTGATCAGTGTGAGTTCAGCTCACCCTGAGCTTTAACTACCTACGAGTCGGTAGGAATTCGTGTTATTTGAAAAAGTATAGATAAACACGAAAAGTTACATTAAACTCCATATTAGGTCCTGAAATGAAATGTGACATCCTCCCAATTTGCGTCAGCACAGCATGTACACTGAGACCTTGCTCTACTAGACTCTGTAAAGCTTTGCCTACCATCATGCAAGAGATCCTGTGAACAATGACGATCCAATCCAAAATATATGCACAATAGTAAATATACCTGCTGTTAAGACTCGTCAATGTGGAAATCAATGTTTCTTTTACACCCAGTTGACTTGCATGGCTGCAGATAAAGAGAGGTACAAGATATATTGTGTTCTTATTATTTAATCCACTTACTAAAACAAGTCCAAATTGGTAAAACAATCTTTGTGTTGCCTCCATCAGGCCCTACATTTCAATCAGAATCGAGAAATGACAACATTGGGGACTAGGCCTTTGTCTCTTGGAAACAAAGCTTTTACCTTGGTCCACTGTCCTCTGCTTTGGGCTTTCTTGTAATAAGAAATATAACACATATTATAAAACTGGCTCACAGGAACGCTAATACATACTGTAAAGCCAGAACATTATATTATAGGAAAGGGCATTATATCATATTGGAACACAGGCTTCTAAAATTCCTATAAAATACGGGACAATTTCTTTCATTTCTTTCCCTTCCTTCCTTTATTTTCCAACTCTGCCTCTGATTGGCTTCTAACTCTAACCAATCTCCCCGCTCATGCCTTAACCTAACCAATGAAATCATCGAAGTTAACAATTCGCCAATCAGAGGCAGACATGGGCGGGTCATGCTTTTGCAATAGCAGGAATTGTGATTGATCTTACAGAGCTCAACTGTCTCGAGAAGAGTTATTTCACTCTATTACACCATGGGTCTTACTGTACTGTAAGTTGTAGTTGTGTTCATCATTCCAAAATTAGAAGTTATAAAAGCATTGTACTCACCAGGGAAATTGCGGTGTAACATCGTTTAAAAAAAGAACCAAACCCCAGATATGTCAATGTGATTGAAAGAAGAAACTAAGGCAATCGTTTTGACCTGTGCTACTTAAGGATGAACTCAAAACATCATGATTTTCATAAAGGATGGTTGAGATTCCTAAAACTATAACAAGACCCAGTTTGTAATAAATCAAAAACGAATCTCATCTTCGGCCATTTGTTTTCCTCTTAACTATGCTTCTCGGTTTTCTCTAACCACCGAATAAGAACACACAACCCTATCCGTTTCTTCTCACTCAGAGACCCCCCCCCCCCCCCCCCCCCCCCTTTGTTTAGAGGGCTGTTGGTTGGACCTAGATGCAGCGTAGTGTGTAGTGTAGAAGAAGGAACAGACACTTTTGGTTTGTTTGTTGCCCTGGACTCATGCAGAGCTCTTCTCATGTCTCCCCCTCAAGGTTTGCCCAAAGAGAATGCTTCTGTTGCCTGTCATGAAAATGCCCACCTACCCCGTCCCCCACTACCACTTCTTTTAGCTCCGGAGACACACACACACACACACACCAAAACACACACACCAAACGCTTAGTCATACACACACCAAGCACTTCTCCCAAAACCTGCTTTTTTCTAGAAGGGAACCTTTTTTCTACAATGATGGGAGAGGACCTGAGCTAAATGTTCATTTTATTTTATTACCGTTTCCAGACACTTTTATGAATGTGGAAAATAATGCAGGTTTGAGTTCCTAAGAGATAAACCAAAACTTGAAGGATTTGACTGTGAATTGTGACCTCGTACTTTGAGTCTAAATGATATATTTGAGCCTTTTGTTATTGTGTTCTTTGCCAGGGAGAGGATAGCCTTTGCAATACGATACACACAACACACATTGTCTCTCTACAAAGAAAATAATAAGCTTTGTGAAGGATGTATAGGAATACATAAATAATCATTTTGAAAAAGAATAAAGTGTATCTCCTATACAAAGCTGAACACTGTCTGGTGTATACATTTCTTTACAGTACAAAGGGATTTGATGCACTTTTAGTTTTGGTTAGATTTGGACTTTTTGGGATTATTTTCCCAGCAGCGATCTGAAATGATTTACTCACTCTTTCAACCTGCCTACGATACTGTGACCTAAACTTGCATCAATCTTTAATATTCCTCTCTCATACAGCGCAGGGATTGAATTTCAATCTTTCCGCGTACCTCAGAGCGTCTCGTTACATCCTTTTGACCCTCAGTTTATAGATATTCAGAGGGAAGGACGAGAAGACAACCATTGAATTTAGAAAGCTTTTGTGGGATCCTGCATCATGCATTCATCGGCACGATCCCATTACCTCACGTGGATTCATATCTGCCGGATTTCCCACAGCTATCGGAGTTATCAACTGGAGTGAATGCAGAGCTTTTTGCAGTTTGGGAGCTCAGTACATCGGAAAGACAACATGTTTTAGCTCAACAAAGACTAACCCTATATCACTTATTCTCCCTATGTGCTTGTTATCAGAGGTCATAGAGCTGTTGATAATGCATGTCAACCACAAACAGAAACCTTGGGACCCACATGAATTCATTTCTCTCTGTGTTGTATGTTGTTTCATTATATCAGTGCCATTGCTGTATTTGTAGTTTTTGCACGTCTTTGCTTAACCTTTAAATAAAGATAAGCACCAACTGAGCTGCTGAAGCCATTTTAAGAATATGGATTAATATCACAAGTAATGTATAAAACATTTAAAGAGAACTTAAAGGTGGGGTAGGTCATTTTGGAGAAACCAGCTCGAGTGCGCTAGAATTTGAAAATACACAACCGGAGAAAATCTGCCACTTCCTTACAGAGCCCCTCCTCCAACACACACGAACGCGCACATGACCAATGAGGGCACAAGATAAGTTTGTGCACAGATGGAAGGCTGACAGGCAGGTAGGTCATCCAGTTATTTTAGCCGGGCCGGCTCAGATGATTGGTCGTACTTTTTACAGCGCCACGGCTTCCACAGATGACATTTTTTTATGGATTTTTTGTCAAAGCACTTAAGATATTCATTGCTGTCAGGATGTTAAGAGCTTTCCATGGAATATAACAAAAAGTGTATCTCGAGCCGGTTTCTCAAACTTACCTAGCCTACCTTTAACTTAAAACAGAATAAAAAAGTGCTAGTCAAAGGTCAGCTTCAGTCAGGACAGAGTTTTGCTTGCTCTTCACCTGCCTCAGTCATCCAACCATCACCTGACAACATCTCCATGGTTACAGATATGATGCGCAGCCATTCGATGAGAGGACCCAGTATCTTGTCCAATGGTTGGTTGAGCTCCATTGAGTTTTTGTAAATATTTTTAATTGTTTTCAGTTGTTACATTTTGATTATTTTTTTGTCATTCTTCTGTACACGTTTGAATGTATTTTTATTTCTGAAATCAAGATATTTATATTAGCTTCGAATGTACTGATAGATATAAGACTTCTGTTATCTGATCTTTACTTTGAACTCTTGATAACAAAATGTATTTCCCAGAATGTTGAACTTTTCTGTCACCCAGGTTATGATCTATTTTTAGAAACATTTCCAAGAACTGCTCAAGTACCCTTGAAGTAACCTTGTCCTAGAAAAAAAAAACATGATTAGATTTCTTTCTCCCTATGGAATTGCCTTTTGATCATTCATTGTCTTTTATGAATCTCTATATGTACGAACATGAATAGTAATCCTTCTGTCCCTGTTCTTCTTCTCACTGCAGGTGGTCTTTTCATTGACAATCCCTTCTACCAGCCGCGGACCCTCGCCCCTTTTATCATTCATCTGGGTCCCCAGGATCTCTTCTCTGACTTCTAGTGGCAAGAAGGTTGTTGGAAACTCTCTTCACACTGACCTGTCTGTACATGCAGGACGCCTATCTTTATGTCCTTCTCTAAGCCTTTTGATGCAGGTGATGGGCTCACAGATCTCAAACTGTTTCTGTTTGATCAGTCCGCCGGAAAAAAAACGTTCTGTTAGCAGCAGAGTATAACATCTCACCTACTGACCGAGAGGCTCAACGCTCCACTTTCTGTATTCTCTATTCTCCAACCAGATTATCACTTCAGAGGAGAGAAACCTTACACAAAGCAATACTCGGATTGTACGAGGAACGGGCTGAACTTCTTTCTTATAGCAATACACCAGAACTCCTCTCCAAGCTTACTGACTTGAGAAGATGTGAATGTCCGATGGAGTTTTACCCAACACAGCATTGCAATAGCTCATTCTGATTGTATATTCATTGTATGTGTGTGTACGTGTGGCTATAACATGACTATATACACATATATGTATGGTGTATGTTTCTATAACAATGTGTTGACAATAATATTACTATATGAGGATGTATTTATGTAAATATTCTATAAAATATAACTATTGTTGGTATAAATTATTTTAGAATTATAACGTGAGATGTAACTGTAATATCACAGTATAGCTTTCTTCCAATTTTATATACACTGAGCAATTGAAGCTAGTTCTAGGAGATGCAATATTATCTTTGGTATTCCTATTAACCCTGTGCTGTTAGAATATGTATGCTTCCTTCTTTCCTTTCCTTCCTCTCCTTACTTTCCCTCTATCTTTGATGTCTTTCTGAGCCTTTCTGAGCACGCTCTCTGCTGCCCGTCGGTCTGTTTACGTGGCCCGGACCAGAGGTGCTCACTACTACTGAACACACTCATCACCTAATCACACCTGTGCACACCCAGGCACACACACTTTCCTGTCAAGAAGCACATTTTCTAAAGTCTCACTGCTGGCAGGGAATACTGTTGTTACAAATACAGTACTGTATGTGTATAGTATGTGTGTACATCCTCCATAACACCCATCAACACTCTGTCCCGCTCGCCTTAGGGACCAAAAGCACAGCTCACTCACGCATTGCTGTTCCTTCTTTCTGCCAACACACACATTCACACACACCCTTCCCTCCAGCCTCTTTTCCTGTAGGGACATGATGCCGCTGGTGGCAGATACAGCCTGGCCAAAGGGCGTGTCTTAAAAAATGGCATCTCACAAGTTACTGGCTAACTAATTAAAGGTATAGCTCAGAAAAAGGTCTTAAAAGTGGAGCTTTAAATTCGATTGATGTGTTCCTGCCTGGGAATAAGTCTATTTCATGGGTTGGTTATGTCAGCTGTCGGTACTTAGAAGGAGGGAGTTTACCTTTGGTTTCTTTTGCCAGTCACTGAAACCACAGCAGTCTCTGGCCTCAAGTTACAGTACATTTAAGGATTCTAATAAGTTCCACAGAGTGAGATTTACTCATTAAACATGAAGTATAAACCCATACTATCAGAACTCAAGATTAGTATTGAGAAAGAAAAGCCGGACTGGTGCATGCCTACAGTAGTTTCAATCACAGTGGCTGAGACACCTGTCAATCAAGCAAACACACTGCATTACGTCTCCGTTAGGCAACATCTTCTGAACATTTTTAGCACGATATTAGAAAAATACAAAACTTGTATTCACCTGTGTTTGAGACAGAAGTTGGATTCTTAAAGGATTCGAAACCCCTAACACAGTCAGCTTTTTAAGGCCAGTCTCCATGTTGATGAACTGTTACAGAGAGATTTGGGGGGTGAAGTTTGGTTTGTTATCATTTTGTAGTCTTAAAAATTCATTAAAATATTGTGTTTGACTGTGTAGTCCTAGTCCGTTGAGGCTGCTATAGCACAGATTGCAAGTTTTATTTGCGTAGGTTGTAGTTAGAGTGAGAGATGAGGTGTTCCATTAAACTCCAAAGTGCTTTACGCTTAAGTATGTCGGTTCTAACTTTGGGCTGTAATCAGTCAGAAAGCAGCATACACAAAGTACTCACTCAGTGCTGTGTGGGATTCTTTGCAAATATCTGTGGCGCTTCTAAAAGCTCTTCATCAGTTTTATTTTATCGTTAGCCTTTAATAGAGACAAGGTGTCAGTCAGCAGAGACAACATCGACCAGAATGTGAATCAAAAGGCTTTGATTCCCCTCACGCTCGCCTTGATCTGGGCACCTGTTTGATCTCCTGTGTTTGCTTCAGCTTTGATAAAACAAAAATGACGTCTGAGAATGCGGTGATAGACGTGCTAACACCTCAAAGCCCATTGTTTTCAAGACTTTTGAGTCAAATTAGAGTTATATTTTGCGACAGCACTGAGCTGACAGTCAAGAGAATTCTTTAGTTTTACTGAATATGGAATACAATGAGAGTCAGGATGTAAATGTTGTCTTTGCTTATCGGTTCCTTAAACCTGGTTATGGTTCAGCCATTCAGCATCATGGACAGAACATCTGTGTTGAAATCAGAGCTTGTAAACATTAGCTGTTAGCCGCCGTCAAAGGTTGCAGTGAATGACTTGGAATCGGGGAGCAACGTTATCATGTTATCAAATGTAATCTTGTTAACTGTTCATTTTGGCGAGATACTTGAATAAATACAGTTGTTTGAAGGTAAAGAAAGTAGTCGAGTTGAGTAAAATTACCTCAAAATGTCAGTAAATTCCACTACCTATATGAAGACATTTGTTAGCATGCCGTTTTAAGAAAATAAACAGAAAACATCTCGGTCATTTACGTATGGGCAGCTGGTTACTCGACATAAACACTTGGATGTATCCACAGTGTGTCTGTTACAGCCAGAGTCCACATCCATGGTTGCCTCTGCTCCGCACGACACATTTGTTTAGCTATTCCAAGCATTTCCCACCAAATCACAGAGCACCTCCGGCCCTCTCATCTCATCTGAGAGAGGCACTGCTTTGCCGTTTTCATCCTTGTGTGGAATTCACGTTGAGGTGAATAACTGTGTTGAAACAGAGCTTCTCTATCGGGCTAAGAATTTCTCCTTATTTCCCCTCTGCCCTCTCTCTGTCTCTCCGTCCTCTCTGTCCAGATGGCCCACATTAATAAGGCAGATATTCATACCTCAGTGAGCAACCTTTTCATTTCCCCTGTGACTGAACAGACACGCTGGAGGAGTCACCCTGACTACTGACCTGTCCTCTTGGTCTGTTGGCCCGGACAACCGCTCACAGGAAAGGAGGCAGAGTGAGAGCTCAGGGAAACACGCTCGGTCTAAAAATGGCGCAGGCGTCTGTAGAGGTTGGGGAGTTGTTTCCTTAGTTAGGCAGATTTGTGTTTCTTGTTAGAAGCCTGGATTGACTTACATTTATACTTATAATTAGCCACAATGTTTGTGGTATGCACCGGATTATTGCAGGGAAAAACGAAATAATTATTAAATGTTCTTGTTCTTTAGAAGTATATATTTGGTGATGATGTAGAAGATGAGGTACAAAGATACAAATTCAAATGATGCTGCTCCTTTCACAGTTCATATGAAGACGGGTGTATTTAGTGTACGAAAAATATTCAGATAGTTTAGATCTGCTGTTGCACCATCATGAAGATGTGATGCTTTTTCAGTGTTTTCCCAGAAGCCCTGTTTGAAGATTTGGACAGTTGTGTCCATGTGGATAACTTTTCTAGAGAGTAATGCTTGTTTGTCCTGCTCCCGGTCCCTGTGAGTTCTCTGACGGATGTTCATCCCTCTCCATTGTTCCCATGAAAGGTCTCAGAGATCACTATGAAACAGGAAAACATGGCAGCCATTGTAAACGCACCTCCCTGCATCTACACTTGGACATACACAGCCTCTCTGTGGGTGTGTGATTACACCTGTAAATCTTCTAAGCACAAAACACACACACACATTGTTCTCAGGGCCACCTGACACACGTTTATGCAAATAGACACAGAAGTAATCATATATGTAAATATTTCATCATTCAATGACAATAACAGCCGAGCCCATTGAGACATTCTTTGCTTCATGGTTTGTATATCACACATAAGATTGTATGTAGTGAGAATTGTACAAGTGGTTAGGCCTTGTTGGTACTTTAGGATTTGAGCCATGTATAGCTGAGAAAATACATCTCCCCTATTTGTTTTCTTGGTGCTTTATAACAGGCTGTCTGTAGCACTGTATATAATGGATGTTACTTTTGCTTTTTGGAGAACCAGCAGTTACCCGTGGACAACATAAACTTTGATGACAGGGGACAAAAGGGAGGAAAGAAAAGTTATGTTGGCACCAAATGCAGTTGCTTTGCGCGTTTAGATGCTGCAATATGTTCAGTAGTTAGAGAGTGCTTTTCGCTGCCAGTCGCACGATTTCCCTCAGGCTAGTCTTCATCCCGCTGCCAGGGTTAAAGGTCAAACAGGATAGGGAATGATGCAGAGAGGCTGTCTGTTAACAGGTTCTGGATTGTTCTGCGGGATGGGATTCATCCAGACACCAAAGACTCTGAAGGCTTTGTTGCAGAAATCTGATATTCTTACTGTCTCAGAAGTTAGAAACCATACAGTACGGGAGGTGATACTCGCCATCTAGACAGTTAACAAATACCAGGTGGTAAATGAAGGAGAAAAGTGTCTTGCTCCCTCTTGCATTAGCACAGAGACGCTAGGAGACATGCTAAATGTGTCTGAAAGCAGAGGAAGAAGAGCAGAAAGAGCCAGCAGGTCCATCATCTGAACTCTCAGCAGAAATAGATCCAGGATCACGTTTCAACTGCCGAGGCAAAGCGAACCAGACTAACTGCTGAACGCATCATTTTCTCCTGGTGTGTGTGCATGTGTGTCGCGGGGGAGGCGCGGGGGGGGGGGGGGGGGGGGGGGGGGGGGGGGAACACCTGTGAGTTTGTGTGTTCGTCTGGCTAGCACATCAACTGGAGGAGGATGGGAAGTTATTTCACACCCATACGCACGCACAGACACACATTATTGCAGTCACATTTAGCATGTTGTTGCATATTTTCTGGTCATGGTCTGCTGATAAGTCCAATATCCTCCTGATAAACGATCAAAGCATTTTGGTTGGGAATGTACACTGTCGTTCTAGTGATTGTAGAGTAGAATGTATTTACTCATAGAGAGAGTAAACTTGCTTTTTTGTAGAGAAGCATATATACAGAATATATATGGATACATACATATACATCTATATATCTTTTGATCTTGTGTGTGAGAGTTGTTTTGGGCGCATCCACCCTGTTAAGATTCATATTTCTCTCCCCTTTTTCAACTTTTATTTATTATGTTCGGACAAAAGTAGCGTCCTACGGGTGATGAGTGTTTATTTTTTTCCTGTATATATGATTTTTTTATTTTATTTTTGACAAAAAGGGGTTTAAAAAGAAACAGTTTTACGATGCTGCCTATGAAGTGATATCTGTCCACAGAATCTGTGTGATTCATGAATTTATCAAAGTGATTTTTTGGTGAAATGTAACAATGACAGGGTGGGAGTCTCACAGGTCGTGCTGAACAAAGGCCAATGACAATGAATCATTTGAACTTGCTGTATTGATTAGTAGCAACATTCACAGCAGTGATGATCTGTGGTTGTCACTGTTTTTGACATAACCTATGCTTGACAAACTGAAAATAAATCTGATAAAGTGCTGAATCTCTATAAGTTAGTATCTTTTTTTTTTAAAGGTCACCTATTATGCAAAACTACTTTTTCATGTCTTTTATACATACATATGTGTCCCTTCTGTGTTAAAAGATTCAGAAAGTTTCAGGAAAAAAGGTTCTCTCTCTTTTTGTCCTGATCCATATAAATCCTGTCCGAAAATCAGCTGATCATATTATGTCCACTTTGTGATGTCACAATGTTGTTATGGGTTGTGCAACCATTAGCCAATAACCAACCAAGGTAACACCCGCCCACCTTATCACCTGAATCTCCTCCTAGAGCAACATTGTGTTTTTTTAAACCAATCATATCGCAGAGGGGCGTGGCCAGCAGCAGTTCGTTAGCATTTAAAGCTACAGACACAGAATCAGCACTTTTGAAACAGGGTTGAAACAGAGGGGTTTATGGGATGCTACAATGCATGATCTGTTTGGGATTTCAAGTCGAACACTTCAGAGACATATATGTATATATCTGAGAAGTAAAATATATTGTTGCAAAATAGTATAATAGGGGACCTTTAAGTTCTCTGGGAACTTAAACTGAGTGACTGTAGTCAATTGTGGGAATGAATACATCAACAATTACTTTACACTACAGGAGATGATACAAACAACAGACACCTGAGGATGGCCATTTAAAAAACAAGTAGAAATCAGAAGAATTAACAATATATGACACTTACTTATATCTAAATACCCAACAATTCAAATTTGAGCTGCAGTGAAATGAAGCTGACTTTCCTCAACACATAAAGTCTGCACTCGTTTTGTATGACATGTTGGATATTTTGTATTATAGTTCCTCTTTATACTGCCCACATAGTGCTACATTCTGAAAGCTAATAGTGATATACTTGTGTCGTTATGTCAAACTATAATCACAGAGGTAAGGTTATGAGAGATAATTGGCAACTTTGTCTATGAAGGGTTTCAGCACATGAGCTGTCAATCATCTGCAGAGCGACTCTGCTGACGGCTGAGTCCGAGGATCCAGTGACATCTCCAGCAGTGGACACCCCCGGCAACCAGACACAGCTGCCAATCACACGGCAAACCAATGAGTATGTGTGTGTGTTTTCAATAAAAATAACAACAAATGGGGAACAAATTGTAATTTTGTCTGAGAGAAAGCAAACAAGACAGATTGGAAGAGGATTTACCTCTTCTACTGATGACAGCCATCTTGAAAAATTAAACCCTGTTTTAAAGTTATTAAAGGATTGTGTGCATCTCCCTTTTTTACTACAACATTTAACATTTTATAGTATTATCTTTTGAAAGTGACAATCTGAATGTAATGCTATGTTTACATACCTACAGCCAATTAGATGAACATGCTTTTTATAACAATAGATAGCTTGCAGTGCTTTGCATTTTATGAGAAAATAACATAGAAGGTTTAAAAGAAACACATCTCTTGTACCCCTTCCTGCTTTCTCATAACATTCCCGGTAATCTCAGAGTTATGTACAAACTAATCTGGAGAACCACTAAGAAACATTATACCGGAGGCATCTGTATGCTGGGTCCTGGTTCAGAGGCTACACTGCAGGGCAATAAATTACCCAGGATTGCTGACAAGTTCACAGCAACTCGTTTTGTATTTCAGCCGGTAACAGGAAACTGTGATGCCCACAAATCAGTTTGATTTGACAGCCTTCCCTCTTGACACACCACATCAGCTGTCTGGAGATACATGTAACAACAACACTGGTAAAGATTTACCAATACCTATTCCCAAGGTCAACTGTTATCATACTATACTATGTTGTTTTTTCAAATATTTTAGCACTATGACCTTTTCCAACATACTTAACTAGGTTGTTGTTTCTGAAGTTTTGTGATATTTTCGGCATACTACACTGTGTTGTTTTTTCTGAAATGTTCGACGTTTTATACTATGTTTTCTTTTGCATATTTCCAACATACTATACTATGTCATTTTTTCTAATTATTGACACACTATATATATATATATTTTGGCGACATTTTAGACATACTATACTGTACTTGCTCTTTTTGGGGAAACACATATAACACCTGTTCCAAAACCGAGTTGAACCCGGGTCGCCTGGGTTCAAACCAGGAGTCCTAACCGCTTTACCATATGGGAAATACATTCCTTATCTACAAAGGATTATTTACTTTGATTGATGGACAATATTATATTATACTTTGTTGTATGATTCCCAACTCTTGTCATTTTTCTGAAATTCTCAACATACTCTGCTATACAGTAGGCTTATCGTTTTTTCGGACATTTTTAACATACTATTCTATGTTGTTTTTCTGCATATTTTTGACATCCTTTACTTTAAAGTATCGTCTTACGATACTATAGGCCTACTGAATGCTGCGGCCCAAAACCCCTGGTCCTAATTGTCCATAGTTGTTTTACAATGCGGCATTTATTTGGAGTCACTGCATTGCATGACATGGAAGCTACTGAAAAAAATCCAGACTTTTCCATAAAGAAAATTAGACATTTCACAACAATATTGATGTGAAATAGATTTTTAGACTTTTCAAAGAATTACAAATTCAGTGTGTGATTCTGCGGTCATGTGATCAGGTGACAGGGAGTTCAGGAGGTTGTTGGGTGTCTCTCGGGTCCATATCACCCCTCCAACACACGCTCACGTACATAAATACACAGAGTTTCATCCCCGAGTCACAAATCATCGACAAGTGAGCTGCACAGCAACTGAAGACGCCTGTCCCATCAGCATTTCACCTCGCTGCTCTTATTTATAGCTATGTAACGCAAGAGAGTACGAGGAGGGGGGGAGGGGTGTCAAGCTGATTGCATAATTCTGATGCTTGTTACCTCCATCTGCCACAGGTACTGGGTTTCCAAATCAACATGCCTACTGTTTTGCGATCTGCGGCCTCAGAGCCAAGTAGCCTATAACTAAAGGTGATAATTTGATGGGCCTGCACTGAGTTATAAACACTCCAAATGATATAAGTACTGTAGGACCTGCAGCACAATCAGGGCGCACTACATTATACACTAAGGCCAAAGCAGAATATAGCTCAACCCTGCCGCAGATAGCATTGCAGCCATATGTTACGAGGGAAACGATGATAAATAGAACTGGAACCAAAGTAAGTGCTAAAAGGAGATTTCCATCCAGCTCAAGGGAAACGGTTTTAGCTGAAAGATAGACTGTTTTCACATACAGTAGTTAGCTGGAAGAAAACGGGTTTATTTTCGTGTTCAAAACTCCCTCAGATGTCCAGGAAGTGTTCCCAAGAGGTGAGTTGAAGGAGTGTCATTATAACAGCCTGGGCCTCCTCTCTTCTGTTTCTACATTTGAAAGGGAGGGAGAGGGAAGGACATGTTTGGCTTTATAGATTTTATAGAAGCTGGCGATATGGGAAACAATTAAAGATTCAAAACACAGTCAACTAAAGATTTCTGATTGAGATTGGCGAGAAGCCTCAAAAATAAACATTCAGTGCTCTTGAGAAAAGTGATGGAGGAAAAGTTATAGCATGTCTGTGAGATAATAACACATTACCCAAAGAGAAAAATGTACATTTGTTTGTTTTTCTCACCGTGGTATTATATATTGAGATTTACGGTAACTTTTATATCGTTTTAATGGCACACTATGATCTGTTTTATGACATTACTGTATATAACATGGCATTTCTGGTTACCTTTTTATTTTAATCTCTAATATTACTCCTGTACTAAACTATGATATAGTGTCAAATAAAGTTCGATAACTGATTGTCTTCGGCCGATATTGAGCAGTCGTCGGGTAGATTTGTATTTTATTTAAGAATCAAAAAACGAAACAGGCAGGACTTTTTTGTGTCGATATCTTTATATTGAAATTCATGAAGTATACAATGCATCCTACACTATTACAATGTCCACACGTTGATAATGTTTTTGTCGTATGATAAAGCTACGTTTTGGCATTTAATTAACCAAACAGCAGTTTGACTAAGAAGCTCAGAGCAAAAATAAAAACAGAAAACATTGTTGTGAATTAAACGGTAGCACGGCAGCAGGTTGGTAGATACAAGTAGGCAACATTAGTTATCTTTACAGAGTAGAAAATCATGAACAAAAACTCAATATTAATTTGTAAATGTTTGTTATATACAACCCAGTGCCGAGAGGAACAACTTCATCTTGGTCCTTCCTCTGACATCACCAGCAGATTTCAGCCAATCAGATTCCACCTTCAAGTTAAATAAAAAAAACAGTAACTGTTCAGTTTAGGCTGAAAACAGAAATACAGTTTTCACTGTTTGTTTGTATTCTCCAGTCTCATTTGATCAGTGAATAGAAATTGAGAAATGGTTGCCCCCCTTTCTATTAAGATAAATATGAAAACACACACGCATGCACTTTTGAAACCCCCCATCGCGAGCATGTCAGCTTGACCTCTGCTTTGACCTCTGATCCCTGCGACTGATGGTGCATCTTCTGTCATACCGATCCAAGCTAGAGGTGCAGAGTTTCACTTCTGCAGTTGTATGTGTTCATTTTCTGCTTCTACAATCACATCCACTTTGATAGTTCTACATCTGCTATGGCCTCCTGAACACGATGAATTCTTTGAGGCATGAATTCATCGAGGAGTTCAAAAATGTTTCAAGGGACTTTCGCTCCACGCAGGTTCCATCGATCTACTCCTGCTGATTTTTGGAGGCTGCGAGATGCTTGTTCTCTTGTTCCACCTCCTCCCAAATGTGTTCTCAATGAGTGCAGCAAGCCGGAAAAAACACAGATTTCTGTCATGTCGCTGGATTTATCTTGAAATGATTGACGGTAGCTTTTCTACACAGTGGCAGTGACACTACGGGATCTAATTTTAAGTCAAGAAAAATCATAACAGTTCAACTTTGACTCAACACAGGAAACAAGCTTTTAATTACTTTCTTTGCTTTCTACCATCAGCATGGGACAAAAGAAACTAGCATTTGTTGCACCATTTAGCATTTTTCAACCATTAATCATGCTTACACTGCTGTACGTATCTGTCATATGGCCCTCCTGTTAAAGTGTTGCTGATCTTCACACTATAATAGTCATTACATCTTTTCGATCCAACATCATACTATTCTTTGCTAGAAAGTGACCAAACAATTAGAAATTGTCCTCATGTTTGACGGAAATAGAAGCAGGTGTCCCACATAAATCATCCACTGTGTGTTTGTTCTGTATCTGCCAATATATAAAACCAACAGTGTAATTCAGTGTGTGTAGTGGTGAAAGAGAACCCAAATATCCGACTGAAGTGTGAAAAACAAAACCGTCCTGCTCGATGAAGTACCACACATGACCCTGCCTGTCAAGTTCAGAGGTCGAAGGTCACAGAGCAGCTGGGCCTGACAGCAGGGGGGGTTGAAGGTGTGTTCAAGTGCAGCAGGAATCGCAACGTCCTGTGCGTGGCCTTTCTATTTTGACGTCCACAAAGTGATGTTTAGGGTTTGAAAAAGCATTGCACCACTTTAACAGTGTTGTAACATAAATACACAAACTGTATACTACATGAGAAGGTTTGCACGGTTTGGAGCTTTTTTTAGTTTCTTTGTGCTGGGACATCCAAACCAAACAAACCTCAAGCATGTTAAATGTCAGATATTTGATGTGAGGAAAATTGACTGTAATTTATATATTCACACACATCCACTAGTTTCAATGTTATCAACCTTCTGATCAAGGCTTTGTCAGCGAACCTTTCTTCAGCATCATTCATATGCACATTTAAACAATAAAGGAAACTAGACAACCAGGGAAACACTCGTTCCCCTTACATGCATGCACACACACACTCATAACCTTAGTGCTTTTTTCTTTCCCTTTCCACACATTGTCTCCCTCTTCCTCTTATACACACTTTAACGTTACTTCAGTCTATTATTTATGCATTCAAACACATATTTTCAGTCTCACATCCACCCCATAGTCAACACAAAACATGCGTGCTTACACATACACACATATGCTCATTACATAAGCACATTCATGTACATACATAGAAAACAAAAAGGTGATTTTCAACGTAAATTAGAAAAAAGCTCAGTTTTGAAAAGGCGTCTATTAGCTCTCGTACCTAAAAGGAACATTTGACAGGGCCTGGTTGTGCCAGTAGTTTAGAGGGGAGCGTGCAGAAGAGTGAGGAAGGACGGAGTGTTTTCTTCTCTATCCCGTCAGGACAGTAACTCTTTAGATGTCCTGCCTTTCTTCTGCGGGTCTTTATCATCAGCAGTACAAAGACAGAAATAAATGAAGCTTTTTTTCTGTGACCGGTGGAAGCACATGGTGTCTCTGGGGAAAGTTTCTGCCCCTTCTCAGCAGCACATTTGGCTGTAGTCATCTGGGGTGGAGGGGGGGGGATAATGGATGGGGATTATGCATGACGACATTCTTAATAAGAGGAACAAGAAACACAGTCCGTAGTAATGGACGTCCTTGGATTTAACGGTCAATGTTCAAGTTAAAGTCGGTGGGTTAAGTTATGTGCCCGCAGGTTTCAGTGTGGGGAGCTCCACACATGGTCTGGGTAAAACTGGGGAGGGGGTTATCAGGTTAGGCGGTCTCCTTGCCCTGGCTCCCCGTGACGGTCTTGATGGAGCTGAGCGTTCGGTTGAACCAGGTCTTCTTGGCGGCCTGCACCTCGTTCAGGGCCAGACCCAGGTGGTGCTCCAGGTCCTGGTGGAAGACAAGATCAATCAGCAGGCGTCCAAACCAGTCAGTAAATAACAAAGTAAGCAGATTTTGGTTCACCTTTTCAAAGCTACTTTTTAAAGTATCTTTTTACCACTTTGCCTTTCATCAATCAGCAACTTTCCCCCCCCCCACTTTAAAAGACACCATTAATCATATGAAATCCTCATCTTTCTCTTTTTGACATCCTTCCTGATGAACTCATAACAGAGCTTCTGCTGTTGGTCAAAAACCTTCATGATGAATAGTTCACTCTACTCCTGCAATGCTTAAACTCACCACACACTCATTTTCATTTAATCCTACCAACTACTTTCACATTGACTTCTACTGCAACTGTGTTTACATATATTTCTGAAATAGTCCACAGCTCTCTAATTTAATTAGACTGCCCTTTCTAATTATGTGAGACGTTAATGGTGCTTCGGATTGATTACAAATGGAATAACTGTATCTTGTCAATAGCCTACTTTCTGCTGGGATTTGTGCCGTCTCATCCTAGTTTAATACAGCCATGAGAGTAGAATATGACCTCCCGGTGACACATTGTTTAACATAAAAGCAGGTAGTGTAGATATTAACAAACGGATGGAAACCAAACATCCTCAAATAAAGGACTAACTGGACATCATTTAATAGAGCCAGCAGTATGTTCTGAATGACATGGAGTTGGATATGTTCTCTAAGGTTGTCACAGTAGTGTTGTGTCACTGTAACATTCATCTGTTTGTGTAGTTGCTTCTACATCATCTAGAATAGTTTCAATGGTAACTAGTATTATTCAAGTTCTATTGCAACTAAATAAATGTGGCATGACTTGCCTCGATCATCAGGGGGGTGAAACAATGTGAAAAGGAAATCCTTGTATTTATATGCATTTGTTCCCCGAGTCACATATAGTTATCTCAAACTCTTTGTGTATTGATTTTGGCCGGGCCTGTGTTAGTGTACCTGGAGTTTGCACTCAGCCTCCACCAACTGCAGCTTGGTCTGGGCCAGCTCCAGCTCCATCTCTCGCAGCTGGATCTTCAGACCCTCCTTCTCCTCATCTTGCTCCTCAGACCCCCCCGCAGACGCTGTGTTCACAGTCCGCACACGGCCTTCTTTGTTGAAAAGACTACTGCACTTCTCACAGCCTTCCACTTTGAACTAGAGAGGGATACAATGAAGAGAGCAAATGTTAAGAGACAAATCATCAATCAACAAAAACTCACTTCTTCATAACGCTTGGATACATAATCTACCTTAAGGCTTGAGTATGGTACAAAACCTCCCCCCCAAAAAACTGAGGGGTAATAGAACAATGATGGAAAGATAATTTTTTATGACATATTATTTTGTGATATTTTTATGGCTTACTATAATTTGACCTATTATCATAATAAATTATGATTTATTACACGTTTTTTCATGACACACTAAACTATCACACATTTTTTACAACACAATGTATCACATAAATGTTTTTGTAACAGACCTTACCATATAATACCGTTTTTCTATGCGGCCATTTTTGTGGACATACTCTACTGAATTTCTTTTAATGCAGTTTTTACTAAATTACTTGCATTTTCATGACATACTATACTATGCCATGTTATGTTATTTTAAGCGATTTTTGAAATGGCATTATACATATCAATTTGAATGACATTATTACGTGTGTCTTAAATGAATGAAATGATCTGCAGGGATATATTCTGTGAGGTGGCTGTCTATCTGTGTGCAGTAGAGATTTGACAGTTTGAGAAGAGAGAGGGCTCTGCTTAGTTATTGAAGCATGGCAGCTCATTAGTGTGGCAGCGGTACAGACCAGCTACACTTCCCCTCTTCTGTCAGGGCTGCCCTCCTGCTGCCCTTTTCTCAGAGAGATCTTTCTGGGTGCCCTTGTACACTTTACGGTGATCCATTACTGGGCAGAGGGCATTTGTGCAAGCAGTAACAGGAAATCACTGCCTGTGCTGCTACATCACCCCATTAAAGTCCTTTTTTTTCTTCATTATTTAATGTTAACTCGTTTAAGTATCGCTGTGGGAGTGGGACGGTATAGCTAAGCTGTACTCAAAGTCCTTCAAGGTGTACAAATAGTCTCAGACTTATCGAGACTAATATTACTGCGGCAAAGACAAGTGCCACACGTCTGGCAGCGCAGGTTCAGTCCTCTTTAATAGCGTTACTCCTTCGTGAGCACTGTAGATAGATTAGCACTTTAGTTTGCAATAACAGGGAGTATAGTCTACAGCACGCTGATTCAGGGTCAATGTTTTGTTCCTTAGCAACATCAGTGACTATGCTGGTTGAGATATTCCCTCCGAATGAATAATTCATAACACTAATACATTTAATTTGGATTAAACTGTCATGCGAGCTTAAAGCTGAATGGTAATTATACTTAACGTTTCCAGGCTCGTCACAGCACAAGTGGCTGCGAGCGTTAATGAAGCAGCAGAGAGCTCAAACTGTTTCTGTCTTCACTTTAAATAGAGTGATTGTGAAGGAGTATGCCAGTGCATTATTTAGACATTTTTAATTAACAATGTTGTAAGTTACAGTTATACATAATTCACTGCGCATCACCGGTCCCCTACTTCAGTTATAATTGCGATTGCTGACAGCTTTATGGCATTTGCTGCACCATTATTAGCAAATAATAAAAGAACAGAAAAGGACAAGCAAGATGATAGACTTGCAAACACACACTCTCTCACACACACACACACACACACACACACACACACACACACACACACACACACTGCTACATTCTTACAGAAAATGTCCTTGGTTCAATAAACCTTTTGTGAGTCCTTGGGCAGCCCTGACAGAACTCTGTGCCAAAATGGCCTCTCTCCCAGCTACAGTCTAAACAAGCATGTCACCCGCCAAGTGCTGGAAGTGAGATGCTTGGCCCCGGCTCCTCTGCCGAACAACCCCTTCTCCCCGTAAAGCTTTGATTTCACTGCCAGGCAAGACAATCAGATGACAACATAGTTCCCCCCCCCATTCCTGAAAACTCAGTTGTACCTGGAGGTAGCAGCTTAATCATCTCTACAATGATTGTCAAGAAAGTCTGATACATCTAGATTCCCCCTCTACACTTTATCTCATTTACTTCTCACTTAAATGTAAAAGTGGTATTCATTCATACATTTGTCTGTATCAACGCAGCTCTGTTATTACGCTCCACTTATAGTCCAGGCTGTTACTCATCCTCCTGTGTGTGAGTGCACACAGCAGTGTTTCGAGGCGTGTGTGTGTGTGTGTACAATTCACCCTGATTTTCTCCAGCTCCCCTCGGTTGGCCGTCTGTTGTTTCTCCAGTCGTTCACTCAGCTGGGAGCAGATCTATATGAAACAGACACATTGTTCAGCCTGCCATCAACATGATCAACATTTCAGCTGAAGCCCTTTGAATTTCTACTGAGCCGTTCAACATGACACTCGATCGGTGAAACAGCACTGTAAGGCTTTTGTACCTTGTGCTGCACTGTGTTAAATAAACACAAAAACATCATACAAACACAGACGATTGTTCACACTTTCAGAGCCTTGAAGGTTATCTAATCACTACATATATAACCAAAAAATGACATGAATAGTTATGGTTTAGAACTATAGTTCTTCTAAGGTTCAAGGATAAAAGAAAATGTCATAATCATACCTTTCTATTACATAAATATATAGATGAATCAATGTAATTATAGCTTAAACTGGAGGGTTACAAAAAAAATCAATCCACCCAAAAATATATTTTCGGAAGCTAGAATATAATAAGAAAAGGAACTGAATGCGAACCACTTTAAACCCACATTTAAACGGTGAAGTGTATTGTTCCCGTGATATCTGACCTCTCTTGACCATGCTGTGCACAACCTTGTTACTCTCGTTTGTGTATCTTAGTCTGTAAGGCAGAGACTTCATCCTCTTACTTTTAATTCCATTAGTGTGTCGTAAGGTCCCGTGTTTCCAGCAAAGCTCACCAGATATACACACACACACACACACACACAAGTATGCATGTGCATCCTTAGTTAAACCCTTTCTCTTTCTCTCCTCCTCCTATACCTATAACCCACAGCTACAAACAAACACACCTACCCACTAGCGCTCTAGCTTGCCGACAAACAGAAAGATCGATGTGACATGAGTCATCCTAACGGAAACATGGGGTCATCCCACCTCTCCTCGGCAGACGATCTATCTCTCCATCTGCTCCTGCTCTCTGCATATCTCTCTGCTTCCCTGTGGCACATACTGTATACCTCTCTTCCTCCTCCGCCTTTAGGATCAATCTATACATCTGTGTGTGTGTGTCTTCAGCCCAGCAGATATCCATCTCCCTCCTCCTACATGTCTTTTGTATCTTTTCCTGCTGTCAGCCTCTGCTTCATTTGCCCTCAACTACCATTACGGAGCCCATTTTGATCTCACAGCGCTTTCTCTGCCCGCTTCCTTTCTTTTAACTAGTGCTACTCCAAGGCAGGCGGCACATCTTTTCATTTTTAAGATTTTACTTGAGCGGCGGGCATTCTGTCTTCAATTAGTTTTCTACATGGGAAGTTAGGCATTTTCCTGTCTTTAGATATTTTTCTAGTTTGTAGAAGGGATAATATTTCAGGTCTATGAATGTAAGATCAGGTACATGTCAGTCCTCACTGCTGAACAATCCACAAGCAAGCTGTCAATTCATAATTTGCTTATTTAAAGGACACCTATCATGCTATATTTAAATGATATATTGTAGGGCCATACCTATATAAGGTATATTTATAGGTTTCTGTTTTCAAAATACCAAACAGATCATGCATTTTAGCCATGCCTCATTTCGCTCTATTTGCTGTTCTCCAGCCCTGTTTTTGCAGGGGGCTGATTCTGTGAGCTGCAGCTGACCACGCCCCCCTGCAGGAGAGGGGAGCGTGCTCTGATCAAGTCAGAAGAGGGGGAGAAAAAGAGATCTCCGTCCTCCGTGTTTTATTATATTATTATATAGAGTCGTTATTCATTTGTTTTAAAGCTCAATAAATAACAAAGAAGACCTTTGACCGGCACTTTTCTAATTTTGTCCGGAAGATTTAAACTTTAACGGACATCTTGACCGGCGAAAGAAAACCTAACTGAAACTCTGCCGCACGGTCCCCTCGTTCCTTGGAAGAGGCGGAGAGGTGGGTGTTTGTCATCTGCTGGTGGACTAACCGGAGAGAATTACAGTGCTTGCCTCGACGGAGAGGGATTGCATTGAATTACAGCAGCAGGAGCAAACGCTTGCCTCGGGGAGGGAGAAAAAAAGCCACAGCGGAGAATAAACAGAAGGGTAACCATGGTAACTATGGGCGGGAAGTCTTCTTCGCTGCTTTTGTGGCAGACTACAGCGCTACTTACAGGCCTGGCATATGTACTACAGCGTCTCCAGCGCTTTCGAGCGGCAATGGCCGGCCGTGGCCCAACCCCACATTCCCCTGATAGGTGGAGAGTCCAACAGCCGTAGCGCCACCGTCCTGACGTCAGTAACGTGGTCAAATCTGGATCAGTTTTTATCAGATCCGTTGCAGCCCCTTTTTTAGAGATTTGGGTATGGAGGAACACCGGGGACACATATTCATGTATAAAAGACGTACAAAAGTGCATTTTGCATGATAGGTCCCCTTTAATTTTAGGATGGACAGTTGTTGTTTTCTTCATATAAAGCGGGCTCAGTACCCCTGGGCTAATTTAATGTTTTTCCACAAACAATTTCACTCTTATTTATATGAAGTATTTCCACTCTGCTCCAGGTGTATAATTACTAGCTGGGGTATTTTCAGTCAATAATGCATGCATTCCTATAATTAGCTCTATGCTATTTGAATTGCTTTATAACACTACATGAATTAGGCTTGGAACAAGAGGCGGACAATTAGTTTGCAATTCTCAATAAAACATAATCAGAATATGGTGGTGTGTCCATGGTCATAATCCTATTAAACTGTATGAAATCATATAAATATATCGCTAACAAGGCCTCAGAGACACCAGTTTTGGCTCGTGTCCCTGTCCCTGAGAGCATCTCCTCTCCAGCTCTTCAGCAGGGATTACAATACGCCACTCGACACCGTTTTTAGCTCCACCATCAACAGACGTTTTTCTGTCCTGGTGGGCTGGAGGGGCAATTAGCACACAAAGCTTTTTGGATGGGATCCCGCAAAAAGAAAGCTGGCATTCGCAGCCAGTGAAATAGGAAAACTCTATTTGAAGAATAATTTGAGTTATCTGGGTTGGAAAACAATGCCGGCTATTTTGGGACATTCCTCAACTTGTCAATCCCAGATGATTGACTGCTGCTGTCCTCCTCTGCTCTCTCCTCCACAGACTGTTGTTCATGTTCTCCCCCTCTCCATCTATCACCCCCATAGTCCCTGTCACAAAAATAACTGTTTTTGACAAAGCGCCATTTTCATATTGGTGCTGCTCAGTTGCATGCTAGCAATCTGAAAGCTGCTTTGACCTATAATACACACACAAACACACAGATACACAATGATTAAAGTTTTCAGATCTGCTGTCAAGTCCAACATGCTGCCAATATTTTTAGACTCAGGTGAAGTTAAGGTCTGTTTCTAAATGAGTCCTCAGGCTATTTCTGTCTTCCTCCACAGGATTGTTGCATAATGTCTGCGCTGATGGTTTTTGATCTGAGTGGGTTTATATTTAAGCATTCGGTGACAGGATGAGATCTGAAAGGATGAAATCATCGTAATAGGAACTCGGAGAGACAGGAACTCAAAATATGCCATCAGTCATCAGAGACTCTGGGTTCAGCTCAGGGACATTTTGTTAATTTAGATGTTTCTCCTTCACAAAGTAGACACATGACTGAATATGGATTGCTCTTGTATTGTTTTTAAATATTTATAGCAATGGTAATGGCTTGATCAGAGCTAAGATCTGAGAAGAAAAGCCAAATAAGGGTTGATACGTGGAGAAGAGGTGCTCAAAGGCTGCTCGAACAACCAGAGTTCAGGATGAGGCACTTAACATTAACCAAAACGACCTAATAATGAACTGTCAAATAAACTAAAATCCAAAGTAATGTAAATGGGTATAAAAATAATCTTATGGCGCCACTCACTTGGTGCCCCTTGAGAAGAGTATGAGTTTTATTTCTATGATAAAAAAAATCCTTGGCCTACTTAAAATAAGAAAGGACTAGCACATGAAATATCAGAATAAATATTGAACTATATTCACTGTTTCCTTTATGTTGTCTTTGTGATTTATATGAACTAAGGTGGCCATTACTTGCTGCGATGCACAGATCGCCAACAGCTGGCAGCTTGTTCAAGATTCTCTAAATTACTATTAAGTGTTTAGCCTTTTATCATACATACTTTAAAATGTCCCCAAATCTTTACATTTATAACATGTGGCCGACCAAACTCTACCTCAGACCTTGAGAATTATTTGTTTGTACCTCATCATGAATAACAAGCTACTACTGCTGTCTCACCTTGGTTTGTATGCACTTGCATCTTTAATTAGAGGAGCGCCACTGTTCTGTGCGTCTTCCAGATCAATGAACAGTTTTCTGCTCATCTACTTTCAATTTAAAAGCTCCGGATAAATTCAATCTAAGCCTCACGTGAGAATGAATGATCTTGCATACATAATTAGTGACTTTCTTGCAGCTGAAAAACAGCAGCAGCTGTACAGAAGTCATCGGCAAAGCCTTGTCCACACCTGTTTCTGTCTCTTAACACCAGAGGCCTGTACTACGAAGCCGGATTTTCGCTTAGCCGGCTGACTTCAGGGAAAACTCGGGCTTTCCGGTCCTACGACGCTGGTTCTCTTTTTAGCGGGCTAGATCTCCATGGTAACTTATGCTGAGCGGCTAACCTCCTCGGAAGGAGGTTAGGTTGCAGGCTAAGAGATCAACTCAGTGAAAGCACCGCCTGCTGACCAATCAGAGCTCCGTGTGCGGAGTTTAAAGCTATCAAGTCATATTACAGGATAGAGGAAATACAGAAAAACTGCCGTTGCAGGAAAGACGACCGGCCAAAATCAACTGACTGTGTGAACGTGAAAATTAATAGAATATCCCCTCCCATCTTCAGAGCAATCTGACTATTATAACATTAGCGTTAAGAAAGCTTACTTAAATATCTGCCACGACATAAGTAACCGGATCAGAGTAACATTAAGTACAGTCCGCGGCACTGTGAGTGCAGACGTCGATGTGTCCCATTATCATTCATATCATATCACATCATAATGTATCATATATTTCCTTATCTGAGTCAGCTGAGCCGTATCTGGCCGTGCAACACTCACAGTGTCACATACTGTATGCAGAAGTATTATTTTAAGCAACACATTAAGTTGACGAAACACTCGAGTCAAATTCTCCTAATTAAAGTCAGATCCACTCGTGTCTTGGACGGGGCAGTGATTTCATAAACCTGTTAATGTACGCATTCAAACACTTTTTCTTTTACCAGCTGTATTCACCTTGCAGGTGCAGCTATGTGGCTTTTATCCTGGATAAAGTGTTTAAGTCATGGATGTTTAAAGTTGAACTTCTTCATATTTGACTAATATTAAAGTTCACTTTTCATTCAGGAAGTATGACGCTGCGCTGTCAGTACGCTTGTCCGTGTTTGAGATTGGTCGAATGCTCCAAATACCACCCCTTTCATGTGAACGCGCACCTAACTAGATAGGACACGGCTGTTGAGCGATCCACTTGATAACACGCGTCGTAGTACAGTTTAGCGAGAGCGCGTATGTTTTGGATTGGGCCAACCGGCTAACTCAAACATATCCAGGTTAGGAAAATCCGGCTTCGTAGTACAGGCCTCAGCTCCCAGTAGGTCTAAGGATTGATTTCAATATGTTATTGATTATCTTTAAGGCTGTTAATGGCCCAGCTCCTTGCTTTATTTCCGACCTTTTACGGTAAGGAATGAACGGCCCCAGGACAAAAACGCTGGCTGACCCATTGTCTTTACTAATTTAACTGTCCTTTTTGGTTTGAATTCATTCTTTATTTCCGATATTATTTTATCTCGGTCCTTTTTAATACATTTATTTTACCTGTATTGCTAAGATAAAAATGCATAGATTTTTAATAAGCACTCTTATTGTATATTAGCTCTCGTTTTGATGCCTTAACAACAAAATACATATGGTATTTAATCCTGGAGTACAAACTATATTTTATTGTAAAGGAATGAACTCAAAAAAGTTTCAAGATATAATAAAGATGTAACACAATCCATGTTGCATAATATATGTTTCTGTGTATATCTAGCTCTCTTTAATGTCATGAGTTTATTTGCTATGTATCATCTTCTCTTCTCAGTTTACATTTTCTAACTTGAGAAACTCCTTTTAGGTACATACAGTAGACTAATATCATTATATGTGTTCACTGCATGGTGAGTTATTATGTTAATCTAAACTGAAAATCCCAGAGTTCAAAAACATTTCAAGGAAACTGGAGTAGGTGTGCCACTGTTTACAGTTTCACTTCTCTAAAATGTATAAGTGTGAAACAGAAATATGAATCAAACAGAGAGGCTTATAGTACTGGATATGCTAACTCTAAGGAATACCCTGTTGCTAGACTTCTTAATTGAAGCATTAAAAGTGATTTCTGTACAGAATTCATAGAGTACAAACCTGCTTATATTCTCCAATGATGGAGCCGTTCTTCTTTATCTCCGATTCAGACTTATCGAGCTCTCGCCTGCACATCTCCTTCAGCTGTGGAAACAAACAAACAGGATCCTGTTAGGAGGTCTGAGGGCAGACAACAAGGACAGAGGCCGAGTCACGACCGTGTCAGTGCCGTGACATGTGAGGAAGACAGAGAAAGGTATAGGCAGACGTGCAGCTCGGGGCAAAGTCACAACCTCAACACACACCTCTGTGTAAGCAATAAATCATTCACTGCTACACCTACACACAAGACGACACACACATTCGGAGGACTGCATTGAACACACAGGTTTGTCCTTCACCTCGGAGAGATTGAATTCAAGAAAATCAACAACAGACATGTACTAACATCCTTTGACATTGAAGGTTTGGTATAGATGGTAAAAAAAAAAGCCTGAAAGGGTTTAGAATATGGTTCTTTCAGCCAGGGTATAACATAGATAGAAAATACAGGCAGAGAGGAAATAGCAACAAAAAAGTCTGTAATATCAGCCATTCTAGTATGAGATTTGAATAAATAAATGATAAAAACGTGCAGACTCTTGGCTCTGTCCATAACAAATAGGCTGCTCAGTCATATCCTGTCACATCGATATTGCTTACTTCCTGCTCGTCTCTCTCGACCCCAGGACAGGAGAGTCAGGCAGTTTTCACAATAACTCTGTTGATGCATTCACATGAGAATTTGTGTTGCAATATCGCTGACGCTTTCCTAGCATTCATAACCCTGTGTGCTCCCTTGAGATTCACAGAAAAACATATATTCAGCTAACGTCTGAAGGGTAGCGACAGAAAGACAAATGTGTGGTTGTTGGCTCTAACCTGGGCAGATTCCTCCTCCAGTCGCCTCTTCTCGTCCTCAGAGTCCACCAGTTTCTGTTTGGTCAGCAGCAACTCTTTATTCAGTGCGTCTGCCTTCTCCTCAGCCTGACACACACACACACACACAACAAAAAAAGCTAATGTTAAGAGGTCATTATAAGATACACTTGCGATAAGTTCTTCTTAAGTTGCTACATGTGTGTTCTTTGCACAATTGTTGCCACATTTAACACATACTTGCTTCTTTTAAGGGACAACTCACACGTAAATGAACATGTGCGCGCACACACACACACACACACACACACACACACACACACACACACACACCACACACACACACCACACACACACACACACACACACACACACACACACACACACACACACACACACACCACACACACACACACACACACACCACACACACACACACACACACACACACACACACACACACACACACACACACACACACACACACACACACACACACACACACACACACAGTCTTCAGCTTACGTTGTCGAGGTCTTTCCGCAGGGCTATCTTTTAAGGGACAACTCACACTTAAATGAACATACACCCACACACCCACACACCCACACACACACACACACACACACACACACACACACACACACACACACACACACACCACACACACACACACACACACACACACACACACACACACACACACACAGTCTTCAGCTTACGTTGTCGAGGTCTTTCCGCAGGGCTATCTTGCTGCTGACTAGTTCGTGTGCCAAGTCGTCATTCTCCTGCTCCAGACGCATGTTAGCCTCTTGCAGACGACGGTTCTCCCGCTGGACGGAGAGAGAGATTTAAAGACAGAAGGAGACAAACAGGAAGAGGGGAGGAGGGAGGGATGAAGACACAGACAAGAGGAGAAAAAGTGGGACAGGAAAACAGAAGAGCATATGAACGGAAATAAGGAAGGGAACATGAAAGAGGAAGGAGAGTGGAGAGACGGGGAAAAAGAGTTACTCATGAGAATTTGCAAATGAATGTTTAAGCAGCTCTTCCTGTCTGAGTGCTGCAAAATACAGACTGTGGGTGTAAACGTGATCAGGTGAGAGCGTGATTACCCAGTACGAGTTGTATGTAATGTTTAATAGAGCATAACCTGCTTGTACATCATTAACAACGACAGAGAGATGGAACAGACAACATACTTCACAAGAGATGACCAGCATAATAATTATCAAATCTTACCAGATGTTGCAAATGTGATTTCAAATGATAAATGATGATAAATGACACTGACTCAAATGTAAACAAACAGGGAGAATACGGAGCAGATTAGCGATTGTGTTATTCTGAAATATGCTCAGAGGAAAATGACAATATGTCTGAAGCAACCTGACAGCAGTCGACTTTATCAAGCTGTGGCTTAATGGGGGATTGCATCTTCATAAAGGGCAATCATTTAAACATCTTGAGATATCTTGTTTGTCATTCTAGAAAAAATGATCTTGGTGAATGGTTCGTTGCCAGCATTATCATGAGCAAACAAAGCAGAAGTGCAGTCACTGTAATTGATGATCTTGTACTGTGTACAACCAGCGCGATACCCTTGAGATGACTTATGGCATGTACAATAAATGGCTTTCTGGGCGCCATGTAGTTTTTCTTTACCGAACAAGGACTGTCAAGGTCTGCAGGGAAATAATGATTTATTCTGTCCAGTGGAAAATCTGTCAGAATATAGTTTTAGTTATAACACTATGTGGTAGCAACATATAGTATAGTATTGTTCCAGAGGTGTGAGATCGAATGTAATACTTGAGATACTCAAATATAATTATAAATTCAGAAAACTAAGTTATTGCAATAAGGAGTAAGGATAAAAGTAAATAAGGGTTAGAATTGCATGTTTTTTCAAAAAGCGGATACAGCTTTAAATCAAATTTGTGTTAATTTAATTGAGAATTGTAATTATTTTGAAGTTTTCAGTGTGCAAAGACGAATATGTTCTGCTCATGTGTACCTCGTATCTCTCAATGGGGGCCTCCTGCTGCTCCTGCTGCTCCCTCAAGGTGTGGTACTCCTTCTCAAACTTCTTCAGCTTTTTCTGGCTGATCTGTTGGGCAGTGGAGGCAGACAAATAAATGTTTTAAACTCATCAAATATGTCACACACGCACATGAAGAATAACACTTATTAACACATGATGAAAAATATGAATATAAATTAGCCCAATAGTCTTCGGCTCGTGGACCAAAGGGAGCTGCCAGGGAAGAGTCTTTCTCATCTTGTGTAAACAAGATTGATAATCTCTGTTGGACTGTGATGGTCTTTAGTTCAGCTCAGCATTTGAATAGGATGCAATGGAATAAATTAAGGGATTACAGGCCCAATTCGACACTGTAATTCTTTTCTGAGAAGCCGGTACATTAGGATATCACTGTCAACACAATCCAGAGTAACTCATGCCACCGAACTGATTTGTTCGGCACACATTTTAAAATGATGCTGTAACACCAAACATGGGCTGGATGTTCCTTGAAGACAGCATATATGTGTTTCACGTCTGATTAGGATAACATTCTTTCATCATTTCTAATCATAAATTATATTGTATAATCAATCACACTTCAGAATCAAAGGAACTGTAAACAAGCTTCTCCACGCAGGTAAAACTAAATTGCATCAGCTCACACTATTATCACGTTGTTGATGAACAGATGTCAGGTGTTGTGAAACGCCTCTGTTCTCCCAAAACAGATTCTCATTTAAATACACACACTTACAATCACAGTCATGCCTACAGATGCAAACAAAGGCAATCTCAAACAGGCCTTTGACTGCCGAGCTGCTGCCTTACATTGGGCTTTCTAAGGCCCCGCTCACACGGGACCGTTTGCGTTTATGCACAGTATGCGTATTCAAAAAAGTCTTCCGTTCACATGCATTAGTTTCATTTAACGTGTCTGTTCAAACGAGGCCGCTGGAAACGCTGTAGTACATATGCTGGGACTGTAAGTGGCGCTGTAACTTCCGCCAAAATACACCAAAAGCCGCGAAGAAGAGCAACGGAGCAGCCCCGCTGCAATGTTGCCATGGCTACCCTTCTGTTTAAGCCCCGAAACTGAAACTGAAACTGAAAGAAACCGAATCTGTGGATATTGCATCCCGACCAAGAAGGTCTCCGTGGAGAGGACGGCTCAGAAAGAGAGAGATATTCTCTACAAACACCGGGTGAGATCCTCCTTTGTCAATATAATGGATCAATGCATGAAATCTGACTCTGTTTATTTTGTTTAAGGAGTATATTGGGCGTTAACAATTCTGGTTTGCCTTTTATAATATTATTTCATTCAAGAACCCCTTGTGCGTTTAATTAACACAGCTATTTTTGATAGTTGCTGCAGGAGAGGTGGGGAGAGGCGGGGCTATCGTTATTTTTTCAGGAAATATTCGTATCGAGGTGATTACACGGACTCGGTTGACCCCCCAGAGCGTTTCGTTTGCAAATCTATCCACCTTGGGACCCGTTATTGTTTGTGGGGTCAGTTTCTATCGGCCTCGTGTAAATAATAGGGCTATACGCACGCGAAACTATGCAGATACAAGCAGTTTTCTCCTCGTGTAAACGGCGCCTGAAAGAGATAGCTACCATACAATAAACACGGTGTGCCTGATTTTCTGAACATGAAAAAGACACCTGTTTAGATTTTCTTTGGATTTTAATCTAATCTGATAACATCTGCAACATTGATGCACCATTACTGTTTGCATGCAGGCCTGAATATGTTACAAATGTTGGTTATCTAATACATTATTTCAGATGGTCCAAATCCTCCCAGCACTTTCCCCTTATGATGATGGCCGAACTGGGACAGCATGATCCAATTCTAAGTGTGTCCCTGAACGTGTGTGTGTGTGTGTGTGTGTGTGTGTGTGTGTGTGTGTGTGTGTGTGTGTGTGAATATGGTATACAGACAAAAGGAAGAAAAAGTACGTGAGGTCGTGAGGGCAGGAGAGGCCTCAGCCATTTTTTTGTTTTTTGTTTTCCTCTTTTCTCTAGCAGTTGCAGCAAGCTGGGTCCGCAGAAGTTACCTCTCACAAAAGCAATTAGGAACATACTGTAAAGCAACTTTGGCTCTCTCAAACACAGCCATAATTTATACACATTACATATTTCCCATCTTACAAGTCTTGGATCAATTGTAAATTGCCTAATTACCTGTGCCATACCATCCGGATAGTTTTCTTAAAGTGCACTGCAGGGGGCATTTTATAACACCTCAGACTCTCTTTTATGTGATGTGCTTATTATTCTCTGCTCTACTAAACCTTGAAAAACCTTTTATAAACTTTCTTCATCTGGAGAATTGTTGACTATAGAGAAAAAGCTACTGTAGGCATGCATTTGAACTAGAGAGAAAGTAGATGGCTATTAGGTAGACATAAAAAGACGGAAACTAGCACAGAGGTAAATAAAATAACTGCATGCATTCATGATTTACATTTAAAATTCCCTGGGCAATTTGCATTTATTAGCTTTAGAAGTCAAAAGGTTGGCAGACAAGAAGAGAAAAAGGTGTAACAACTACACAGAGACAAAATGAATGACCCTAGTTTGACCCTGAGGTTGTCTCATGAATACATTTTCTGACCTGACCATAGTTACCAACTGTTTGTCACATATTCACTTCAAAATTATTCAAATTATAATGACCCTTGACCACAAATACTAAGTAGTTTAAAGGGTCTTTTCTATAAAAAAAGAACTACTGGAACTCGCACAGGCACGAAAAATTCTCTATTGTTTTCTTTTTCCACCTCATGGGATAGGATCACAAAAATCCTGCCTTTGCATTTACAGCCTTATGCTTTCTCCACCGTCAGAGTGAAAAGGAATTGAATGAGGGCGAAGGACCAACCAAAACCTCTTTTAAATAAAAAAAGTAACTCATACTCCAGAGGTAGATCATTTTAAAGATAATAATCCAACATTTAAATCACTGCCGAAATGCCCTAGAAATCTGAGCTAAAAGTTAGATCACCTGGCAGTGCAGAAAGATCAGTGCTCCAATCAGAAGGCAGTGTCATCGGTGAATGAGGACACCAGTAAGCTGATCAGGTAATCTTCTATGGTGACATCCAAGTTTCAGATTAGCCTACCTTGATTCAGATTTAATTCCAAGCTCCGCCATTGTCTTGCTCTCTGGGGTCAAATAAGTTTGACTTATTTTCTCTTGCCACATAATGTCCTGATAATAACTTTAGGCAATGTGCATCTAGGTCACTATATGCAGGTATTTTTGTAGAAATGGCTTTAAAGCAACCCTTAAAAAACCACAAATTCTAATAATTACATCAACCAAATAGTCAAAACAAAACCAACACTTCATGCATAAAAATGTTGTATACTAGCTTCCATCTGAGAGGCCTCGTCCGCCCCCAAAATGATTTATGTTCAGAACTGATGCCTCGAAAATGAGTCCAGTTGCCTCTGATTTAGTTCCACTATGTTTTTGATGGATAATCTGCTAGTGTTATCTCTCTCTGTTGCCCACCTGTCTAATGAGAACTGAGAAATAAGCCAAACATATCTCCATGCTGGCTCCTTTACAGAGTTTGAGCTAATAAATATCTCTGCCCAAAGTTACCTTCAAAGTCAGGTACCTCTAAACTAGGACAGGCTGTTGAAAACAGGTCAGGACGCAGGTGTGTGTGTGTGTGTGTGTGTGTGTGTGTGTGTGTGTGTGTGTGTGTGTGTGTGTGTGTGTGTGTGTGTGTGTGTGTGTGTGTGTGTGTGTGTGTGTGTGTGTGTGTGTGTGTGTGTGTGTGTGTGTGTGTGTGTGTGTGTGTGGTTTTAAGAGATACACAGGAAGAGAGGTGAATTTAATTTGTAGAACTTGATTCAAGGTTCAAAAGTGACCCCTAGTGGTATTTAAGATGTACTGCTGGACTATATCGAGGTTGTTTCCATTCATTCAGTGAAATACAAACTATCTTGATTATCCGATCAGCATTTTGATCTGGACATTTTGAAGACCATTAGCTTTGAAAATGTGGTTATCAAGAAGACTTAGAAACTGAATCATATTTGAAGCTGATCCTGGGTCTTGTGCAGTATAAGGGATGAAAGGCTGAACAGACACAGCTGCAGTGTGTTCAAAGTAGGCACTCTATTGGCTTTTACTCTTAACTCACCTTCATGCCACAGGCCAGCTCCATCAGCTTCTTCGCGTTTTCCTCAGAGCGATATCTCTTCGGAACTGGGACACGAAAGAATTTGAGTGCACCCTCGAAGTCTGTTTGGATCAGATCGTCTTTAGATGTCTGAGGAAAAGAAGCATAGGAACACAGGAGTTAAAGAAAACGCTTACAGAACATGGCTCAGCCTGTTGGATGTATGTTTTTTTACTTCTTTGTAACATGAAGCAAAATTATCCTCACTTAAAGACAAATATATGATAAATAACAGGCCGTTGGTCAACTAGCTTTAGTCTACAAACCAGAATAAGATATAAGTTGATATTTTTTAAACTCACAATGGGGGGACACTACACATGTATCTGCACCTGCTAACACGTGCAGATGTGAAAATGTACTTTTGGCACATGCTCTGCCTGTCTTGTGTGTGTGTGTGTGTGTGTGTGTGTGTGTGTGTGTGTGTGTGTGTGTGTGTGTGTGTGTGTGTGTGTGTGTGTGTGTGTGTGTGTGTGTGTGTGTGTGTGTGTGTGTGTGTGTGTGTACATTTTCAATTTGTGTAAGCTTACCTTCAGAAGTGCCAAGGCTACATTGAAGATCACACTGATGCCCTGAAAAAAAAAAAAAAAGACACAATTGTCATGGTTTATTCCGGAATTTAGTTACTTTTGCTTCAACAAAAAATATCATAAAACATGGGTTTAACAGTTGCAGAATATATGTGCAAAATAATGCATAATGTATAGGATTTCTGTGTAATGATATATTTATATTAGCTCCATCAATGGAAACATAAAACTAATGACGAAAGCAGATTCCTTAAAATAAAAAGAGAGAAATCTAAACAACACACAGCACATAATACCACTTATTGTATTTCTTGCTGTTAATAATATTTATTTTCCAGCTTGGCCTTTTAAAATGTGCACTCTCTTACTCATCCTAGGAGATGATTTATCAGCGCTGTCCGACTATATGGGAAGTTGAAAAACTACAAACTTGGATTTGGCTGGCTAACTAAAAGACATCCAGAGAAACTCCAGTTGTCTTGGCTTGGACCAGCATGCTGAAAGGTCAAACTTCCACTTAGTGTCAATGCACTTGGGTCTGTCCATCATATCTTACATTTTGGAACACTCTCCGGTTTCCTGCTGTTGCGATGCATCGTTACAGCATCATTGCACGCTTCATTAATCAGAATATTAATAGCTAGATCTAGAGCTTTACATTCAGGCCAATAAAACAGCCTTGTCTCATCAGTCAGAGTACTCTCAGAGGCCATCGATTGGATACACTTTTTTACTGAATTTGGCATCATTGAAACTCTTGGAAGAGTGTTCATTGTTCCAAACTTCTCATGTTATTATTATTAGCAGAAGATATCTCGAATTTCATCACAATACAATATTATACTGATTTGTTGGTGACCAATATGTTATTTGCTGATATCACAAAGTCTGATTCTGATTCAATTCAACTCATAAGGAGGTGAGCTACTGACTCAGAATTGCCATGTGAAATGTAAAAGTGATCTTAAAGATGATGATATGTGTTTATGTTTTCAGTTTGCGACTGACGATCATTGATTCAACAACAATTCAGATCTGTCAGATGTTAAACCCCTAATTTAATCATTATTGAATTGACTCCTGAAGGCTTTTATCCTTCAAATTTTCTAGAGTTAATAAATGACATATAACTGCTAGTTCATATTTGATGTAGCATGTGTGAATTGCAGCCATGAAAGTTGTGTTTGTGTCTTTTTATTACCAACCTCACACAGTAGCAGGTCGATGATATGGAAAACCATGTAAAGAGGGAACTTGGCTGTGAAGAGGGTGAGGAACCACTGAGAGGCGTACATGTGAGCCTCCAGACCCACATTCAGGAAGTGGTTGTATAGGTCTGGTAAATATTCCTGTTTAAGACAGAGAGGAAGCAAATGGCAGAATGAGGAGGGAGGAGATAAATGAAGGGACAGGGGCAAAGAGAGTTAGACAAAAAAGAAAAAAGGAGTGAGGTACATCAACCAATTCCATGATATGCATTCATAAAATAACACACACATACCTGCATGAGTCTCTCAAGCTGGAAGAACTTGCAATGCAGATCTTCAAAGTTCTGTTTGAAAAGGTCCCTGAGCCCGTAGTCAAACATGATCTTGACCAGCACACTGAACGCTTGCTCCTCTGGCATCTGAAGAAGAAGACCAAAATATTTAGTAATAAGTACCTCATGCCAATGTATATACTTATGTTTTTAAATGAGGCTAATACAGCATTTGCTTTACTTTTCAGCTTTCTCATATAACACTACCTGAAGTTGTTCAATGACTAATTAAAAAGTTCTGGTACATCAGCTTAAAAAAGACATGTTCTCAGTCTGTCCACTAAGTGGCATTGTTGCCTTTTTCCTGAACTGCAGGAGTCTTTTAGGGAAGCCACTGTAGCTTGGCAGATAAACACATATTATACATTATTCATTATTCATTAATGACATTATTCTTTAAAATGTCAGTTCCCGCAGACACACAGTAACAATACATCATTCTTATCAATTCTGACAAGACATTCAGAATAAGCCAGACTGACGCCTCCAGCATGGCAGAATGTCAAAAAGACACAGATGTAAAATGAACAGAACATAGTCCCTCACAGCTATTTAAAGAGGATTGAATGCATAGGATTTGAGCTGGACCCGACTGATATGTGAACTCACGTGCAGCAGCAGCACAGCAGCCAGGAAGGACTGTCCCTGGCAGTAGCCGATCTCCTCATCGTACACAGAGTAAGCCTGAAGGAGAGGACAGAGGTGTAAAGTGAAATCACAGGAGAAGATTGAGGGGAAAGAAAAGAAAACCTGCTGTATAATAGATGTTAGACCAAATGTTGCCGTCAGCTTGAAAATGAAGCATGGAGCTGATTCTTATCTAACATTTATACAGGCGCATTAAACCGTTTTTATGAATTTAACACAGAATCAAATGATGAAATGTAATGAGAATGAAAAGATAAAGAGCCTCAATAAAAACGTTGAGGGTAATTTAAATTAAAAAAAAAATTATTTTCTTGGGAGATGGCAACCCAGCAAGTTCAGTATAAGTAAATACTTAACTTGTTTTTGACTGATAGTGAGAGAGATGGCTCAAGCTACATGGCAGCTTTATACAGTTTTACATTTAACAGAAAAAAATAAACAGGGGTTGAGAAATACAAAAATAAAAACAACAATGGTTTTCCACCCAAGCATCAGATCAGTTAGATATAATTGGTTTGCATATTACATGTTTTGCTTCACAGCAGACTTGCACTTGAATATTATTGTAAAAGCTGATTTAGAGTCTAGTTGTTTTTATTCCCTTTTAACAATCTGAAATTGTTGAACACTGGCACTGAATGCTATATCACCCTATTGTGCCGTGCCCTAGACATAAATAGGTGAAGGATCTGAAGGGATGTACAAAGATAACCATGACTCTGTTAAAAAGACAAATAGAAATGAAAGGAATAAGAGAGGGAAAGGGAAGAGTTGCAGAGCGATATTAGTGTAGAGGAAATAGAGGACATTTGAGGGGAGGGAGCAAGGAAGAGAGCTTGTAAAAAAAGGCTGTAGTGGCCTACTGAGCTACAAACGCAAAAAAAGAGAGCAAGTCAAAGTGTGGATCAATCCACACGCAGAGGGAAGGGAAGGCCCGCTGAATTATTCACACACACCTGAGGAGGTACTTGTCTGGGAAAGAGATTGATGCCCTCACATGATTTATACATAATGAATGAAATGAGAAGTGTGAAGAAAGGCCATTCATTTAGGATTGTGAAACTATAGGTTTAAATGTGTGTGTGCATTTGTTAACGCGAGACAGAAAGCACCGGCACTTTACGATCAATAAGTATTTTGTGACAAAATGCCAGGTTTCTGTTTATTTGTGTGTGCTCTGCTCAGCTGTGCAGCAAGATTGATGTCAGTAAAGTCTAGTGTGTGTGTGTGTTTTCTTCAAAAATGTGTTTCATTTCTAGACGAGCATTGGCTGTTTTGAACTCGCTGAACCCAGAGACTCAGTGGCTGTTCAGTAAATCCATTAAGAGTTTCCTTTAGCTCTGACAACTCTCACTACTGCTCTGCAAACTTTGTCATCAGACTGTAAAACAAGACATTTAGATAATAATGACACAGTTTCCAGGGGAATATTTGATTCTATTTAAGATCAAGATTGCTATAATTGGTTATAGCAATCAACTCTAGTGCTATTAAAAAAGGCCAATTATTAGTAATCATGGTAATCAATACATTTCCCCCCAAAAAAACATATAACAGAGGTTGTACGGTATATGATCACTATGTGTATGTATAGTTTGTCACTATGATGGATTAGGTTTAAGACATGTTATTTATGTTGTTATTACTGGCTGGTTTTTGTTTTTAATATTTTACAGATGTATTTTGAGTTGCACTTCTGTATTGTGAGTGTTTCACAAAATTACTTACTTTAATCTTAAATAGATGATTGTCTAAGTCAAGTTTCAGAAAAGACTGATATTAAAATGTAGGCATTTTAATCTAAATGGAAATGCAGTCAATGTGGATCAGAGTGAAGTTCAGAGGAAGGGAACACATGCTTGTTTTTGCAGTCAGATGTAGCTCTTGGTGAGTTAGCATAGCTTTGATCCACATTTATACTATATTTCTATCCATACTTGCCCTGTGATGACTTAACAAAAATATTGAAATATCCCATTCGAGTTTATGTGACCCACCTTGCAGATCTTGTAGAGGGAGTCTTGTCCATCTCCTCCAGTGTCTTTGAAGTAGTCGTGAGCTGGGAATGTCCTGTTGATGTCCCTGGTGATGGCACTGTCCTGGGGGGACTCCTAACAATGACACAAAGGACATTGGGGTGTCACAGATAGGGAGATTCAGCTACAAAGGAATCCACAAGAAGTTTTATAAGACAGCTACAGTGAAAAATATTCCATAGAGGCCCAGCAGTGGTCAGTGTTCCTTAGTATGTGCTGGCAACACATTGTAAGGATTTATAGTCTGAGTTGAGATGAATTACTAGTGGCACAGGGTGTTCTCTCCTACAGTACAGTACAGACTGTACTTCATCTCTCCCTGTATCTCTATGTGTCATTTCTGTCCTTTTCAGTTCTAATGGTTATCAATTTAAAACTTGAAATGAATGTTCTATGTTGCCAAAGCAAAGATAAAGTCGAAGAAAGATAAAGGAGCTCTGAGAAGCTGTATAAACATTAAATAACATTAAAGGGAAACTAATCAATGACATAATATGGCACAAATGCAGCAAGCTCTTATTCATCACCTTTATTCAACATACAAGTTTTCTGTGTGTGGGACAAAAATTCGGTTGACTTTTTTCAGAAAAAACTGAATGTGCCCTAATGCACATCACTATTTGCACTCAGTTCTGGGAACATCTCTGAAACCGTTCCCCATATATCAACATGGTCTTTTGATGGAAAAATAACCAGAGCTAATCTGAACCATAACTTATGGGATCAAATGTTTTGTTTTGCTATGCATGTGTACTAAGATCCTGTGCCTGATCAGCTAGCATGACTAAATACATACGTTAGGATATATTGATACAAGTGCAGAGATGTGACCCTGTCTTCATACAGAACATACACAAGCCTGAGGCAATGTATATCTATGGGATATCCCTCCACTCTGATGAAACATCACAACACAGTGGAATAACCACTAAAACAGATCAGTGAATTCACTACTAGCTGAGATCAATCATCCCTAATTCCATCACTGATGCTCAGTGTATTTGAAGCATCTGAAAACTACTGCAAGACACCGTGGCCATTAAATGACAAATTGAATACACGTATAAAGATGTCAGTATTTTAAAAGGCAAACATCCGTAATGGCATTCTTAGGAGCCTGGTGCCGTGACCCAACTCTTATACCATTGGTGAATATACAGCTAGAATAAGGGTTTTTATTCTATCAGTGAAAATAATGCGTCACCAAGTTAACTTTAAATGACTAAATGAATGTGGTTTTCCATTGATTCATGTAGGAACATTGCGTACTACACTTTGGGATGTAAGAAAGTACCGGGACTTTTAAGCAAAGCATTCAGTGCCTTACTTAAAGGCCTTTAACTAGACAGAAATTAACCATTAATCCCTGTAGGGTCCTAAGAAAATCAGTTTTGTTCTCTTTACAGCTAATTATGCTTTCTGCGTCTCGCTATTTGTGTACTCATCAAGTCCCTCCCACTTTTTTCCAAGGTTTGTGTTCCAGCTTCCACAGAGGAAGAGTGAAACAAAAATAATGCAAGTATAAGAAGAAATGCAGGAAGAAAGGAATACTAAAACAAAGTGAGCTAATGGGGATCAGAGACCGACAACAGGGGGCTATTTTATAAGTCCACTCCACCACACCCTGCATAGTTACTGTGTGTGTGTGTGTGTGTGTGTGTGTGTGTGTGTGTGTGTGTGTGTGTGTGTGTGTGTGTTGTTTATTGTTTGAGTAGTTTTGGTCAGCATGCAATCTGTTCCTCTGATTTGTATCTATATTTGGTATTTTGCTGTACATTAAGACTTACTAAAACAATTCTAATTTACTACAGCTGACATTATGAGTTGATTAATCGATTAGTTGATCAACGGGCAATTAACCAAAACCATCAAAAACAATGAGAAATGTTACTTGCTCTGGTACTGCGTCCAGTGTGAAGAGCTGCTCATTACTCTGGGCCACAGTCTCTCAGTGATGATAAGGAGCCATGTTTAAACAAGCACCACTTAGCCATACTTATCTGAAGTGCTGAGAGCATGTACAAAGACCTCTGGCATAATAGCCAATTAGCTTCCCTTCTGTCTGTCTGTTCATTCGGTTAAAGCGAGGTTTGGTAGAGGGTAGCGTGAGAGGGCAGAGAAAACATATCCACTGTATAGGAAGTGTGACAGCAAACTTCAGCCATTACGAGAAAGAGAGAATGGGAGAAGATAAGTATCTCTAAGGAAATGTATATCAGAATCAAAATAAGAAAACTTTTATTAGTCCCACAGCGGGGAAATGTATAAAGAGCACAGTTGATGACAGAGATAATAACATACATAAGAATTAAGTTATATTCAAACACCTGAAAATGAAGTATAGGCAGTTTATGTTTGTCATTGTTTTTCGGCTTTAGAAAATGTAGTCTGTGACAGGAGACTACATTTTAGAGAGAGGATGTTTCTATTGTCTGTACTACAAATCATTTCATATGGTGAAAGCTTGATAAAATGGCGGGAGAAATAGCTATTCCTACACTACAAAGTAAAACAAGAAGACAGACTTGTCAAATGGAGAGTCTGACATGAATTATTTAATGTCATCCCATTAAAGGAATATGCCTAAAGTTAAAGTTATGTTTTTTTAATTAATGTTGATATTACAATACAAGACTTAATGGTTATTGCGGTGAAGAGACATTTCATGCTGAGCCCCAAGCTATCTATTTTCATTATATTCAACCTAAAATAAGGTGGCAGATACGCTAGCCCAAGAAACAAACTAACCTAACAACCAATTTTGATGCGTCAAAGCACGGTTTACTGTTAATGATGCGTAACTGTCAAGAGTAGTACAGCAGCGAAATCAAAGAACACCTATAAACTGATTGCAGGCCAAGGAACAAAAACTGGTCTTCTTACAGAGATACAATAAGAAAGTAGTCTTTACTGTGAGGGAAACCAAAAATGGCAGAGCAAGTGTATGTGCGTTAGTGTGTGTGTTTCTAAAGCTAGGAATAAAGTACCGGTGCAGGGCTTCCGTGGGAAGGCTGAGTAGCTAGCCCTCCATTGTTTATGTCCCTGATTTTCTCTGACTCAACACAATAGCTGACATGTCATTCTGTTATTCTTACTTTGCTCCTAAAGGACCCTGCTGAGATGCCAAGAGAACACGGGGTGATATTTATCATGCTCGATACAAACCTCCCCAACACACCCAGCCTGAGTGATGGACTGTAATGCTTTGTAATTAATAATTAAGTACAGCCTTGACAGATGGTGTCACCAAAAACAATTTTGAGCTGTTATTTTAGTAAAGAAAGTACAAATTATATTAACTCAGTCATTTCTTCAGTCTGTCCTCGAGAATAATTTGCAACGAACAGAGCTCCAGCTACCCGTAGAGCCGCTCTTTACCTAAACGTCATCTATCATTAAATCTTAATCGTCTGTCTCATGCCCTACTTTTTGAGCCATTTGCGAGCTGGTATGCTGCTCCATCACAAAGAGAGCATGCAGAATATGTTCCTGATCAGGACAGGGCTCACAGAGAGGAAGACGTAATGTATATTGTAATGACAACAGCACATGCTACACACAATGACAAAACTACAATGGCCTGCATTCTCTCATGGCAGTACTTTCCAATCCAGGTCACTAACAGTTCCCACAGCAGCTTCGTCAGCACGCAAATTCAGCATAAAAACCGCCTGCACAAATATGGTGCTGCTATAATACAGTTACTGCAGGTTAACATTGAAACAATTTATTCTTATCTGTACCGATACAGAAAGATCTTTTGGCAATAATTGGAAATTCTGGGTAAATGCAGTGCTTTTCTTAAGAACAACACTACTTGATCTTCAGCCAGCTGTGTTTAGCCAAGCATTCCCCCCACTAAATATAACTGTGCAAAAGCATGTTTGTTAACGTACTTCAGTCGAGGTTACTTATGGCAATTCACCTGAGGGAGGGTAGAGAATCTGATAATAAAAAGAAAATGGCGCCTAATACCTGTGTTCGTAGCAAGAGGAAGAAGTAAGTTTGAATACATTGACATAACATTACATTTATTTTCTCAGTACAGATACACAATATGTACATCTTATAATTTCATATAGGCTTGTCACCTACAAAGGATCATGTAATTAGACATTTTTTTCACAGAGACAGCAACATATAACCTTTGCATTACCCAAACATTCTCCAACTATAAAAAGCATACAGTACATTTGACAAAAACCTTACAAATTCAACACTCCTGATGCATGAAACATGACATGGTTTATCATCTAACAGAGTAATGGCTTAACTTTCTCAATCTGAAATTTACAAAAGCCCCATTGTTGACTGTGAGCATTACCAGTGTGGAGGAAAAACACATGCAGAGGGACATTTCTGCATCTTTTGAATATTTCCAGAACAGGATTTTGTTACAGTGGTCAGTTTGTCTTAATGTGATAATAATCTGTTACACAGAACAGCTGGGTCATGAGTCAGACTTTAGTGGGGGTAATCTGTGGCCTATTTAGAGCCTTACAAAAACACAAAGAATTTTTTTTTCCAATACTGATTTAAAAATAAGATAAGAAAATACGGTTTTGTGGGAATGTGTGTGTTAAAGTGCACTATAAGAGTGAGACTGTGGACCCAGTTCAGGGTAATGGTCTAAGATGCAATAACCAACCAGCGTTCAGTTGGTTTAAATCATTGTGTTGGTAATTAAATAAGATATTTTTCTGAGAGAACAACATGTTCTTGATACAAATGTGCACCTCAAATGGGATTTCATAGGCAACTTAAGGAGTGTGCTTGTTCCTCAGACAGATGTACATCTGGGTAGCCTGAGTGGAACTGCACCTAAAGCTGTTTGCAAACCGATACGATGCCAGAAGAGGAAGATTAAGAAGCAGCAGCAATCCTCAAACCTTTAAAGGGCCTAAAATTAAAATAAATAACAGAGCATAATATAAGGACTCTGAAAACACAATAATGGATAATTATATTTATACTTTCAAACCTGAAAAACCCTATCTGCAGATGGTGTTCATGTTATCTACTCAGTATCACTGATAATTGGTAGTACGCACTCACTCATAATTGTTCCCTATCATGACTATTTTCTCTATTTAATCTCTAATCCTACCCAACATTGCACTGCAACTTGACACAGCCATTACCAGAGTGTTGTTCCCATGAGAGCCGATTGTTTTCCCACAGGAGAAAGGGAATGCGTGTGTGTGTGAAGGCTAATGCTGCATGTTCTGGCACAATTGTTTCTCGAGACCCTTTGCCCTACATCTTGCACATTTCTTGGGTATTGTACCATTAACAGCTGTGGGAAATTATACATCTTTAGTGGTGAACCTCATATTCAAAGTAATCTGTTTGTACAATGGTTCAACATCTTAGTAGAAATTGTCCAAGTAAAATAAAGTGTATCTACATAAAGACACAGCTTCAATTATTATAACAATACTCTACTAAACCTACTCCACAACATCCGCATGTTCGACCTCAATTTTACAAAAATTAATTTCTGTAGTTTCACAATCAAGACATTCAATACGCCATTTCTGTACATGCTTTTTTGCACACGCCTTTTCTGAACAAAAGTGATACAAATAAGAATAATTACAATATGTAGCAATGCTTCACAGGTGACAGCCATAACATTTAAAGACAACATGTGGATTTACCGCCATTTTACTTACATAAACTCACAAAATACAGTATACTGGAGGAAAGTGAGGGAAGCTTTTTAAGCAGGGGAACTCAGTTAGCACCCTCGCTTAAACACCGTTAACAGTCCACTTCAGCCAATGGTCGCATTTAGCACACATGCACACGCAGTCATACTGTACAGAGCAATGCACACACAAACAAATAAATTAAAATGCACACAAAATTAAAAGTGGGTTTGTTTTTTAAGTTTACAGAAGAAACAATGATTGTAAAGATTTTTTTAAAAGGGCAGCTGGTGTGACAGTGAATATTTAAAAATGACTTTAATTTGGTGACACAATGGTGTTCATGCTATTTTTTACTGAGCGTGGAAACAAGGCTGGCTAATGTATATTTTCATTTTGTTTCCAAGGACATTTCAATTTCTAAGAACAGTCGCACGTCTACATATTAAGCCCTCCCAAGAAATAAGGAAAAAGCGTTCCCCGGTGATTTCGTTTGTATATCAAGGCAACAATATATCAATTTATACTGAGAAAGTGCGCGCAAGGCGTCACTGAGCCAACACAGTGCAGTGGACCTACTTTGTGTACAAAGAAAAACGTTTATTCTACTAAATTCAGTAATCATCCTAGAGTATCTGTCAAAATGTCTTTGGTAGATTACATAAAATGTATTAAATTGGAGCAGCATACCAGCTCGCAAATGGCTCAAAAAATAGGGCATGAGACAGACGATTAAGATTTAATGATAGATGACGTTTAGGTAAAGAGCGGCTCTACGGGTAGCTGGAGCTCTGTTCGTTGCAAATTGGATTATCTGCACCTAAATAAACTGTGAAATGAGTCTCCATGGTTCAAAGTAGGGATCATTTTTCACAATTTTATGACACAGTATGTACAGATAAGAATGAGAACCACGCACAAAATTTCACATGGGGCCAGGGGATAAACTACAACACATGGACGTGCACATAGACACTTGTGTACACACACACACACACACACATGTTACTGAACACCAGGGAGATGAGGGTCGGTTCATCTTCATGGTGCTGTACAGAGGTCAGAGTTTAACCACTGCTTGGCCCTCTGGCAGAGTGAATGGACCGTTTGTCTGTTCTGTTTACATTTGAATCGCCTGTGTTCGTGTGCGGGAAAATTATTCACCCAGCCACAATGCAGCACAACACACCTGGAGCACTGCCAGCCATTTGGTTAGATGCAGTTGAGAAATATCTAAAAACAACTTCAAATAGAACAAAACTGAGCAGTCAGATTGGTTCTTCATCGTGATTTCAGCGCTAAGGTTTGATAGATGCAGAAACTATTATAATGGCTAACTGTGGATGCTAAGTTAGATCTAGTTGTATTTATGCAAAACCTTTGGGGGATTAGAACAACTACATTTTCTTTTAAAAAGCCACTAAAACAGAATGTAATGAATCTCACATGGATTACATTTTGGTTATTGTTGTTGTGGAATCTTTTTGATTCAATTAATGAGGAAAGACAAATTAAAACTGACAACGATTTGACGTATTAATTAAAGGATGAATTCACTGGAAATATAACTTTTTGACAACTGGACAGCAGTATAAACTGGGTAGCAGGGTAAAGACAGACTATCAGAACACTCTCTGAAATATTATCTTATTCAAGTTGAAGGATAGATGTCATGAAGTTGCCATAATCAGTTTAGAAAATGACACATGCACAGGGTCTAGACCTCTATACTTTCTATTCATTTTTTTCCGACTGACTAGACTCAGCCCTTCAGTCAACAAGAGACAAAACAAAAACACGTTACACAGACACACTGTTGGACTACTTTTAGTGTATAGATACTGAGGGTTACAGAGCATGTACAAAAATATTTTAGGAGCTTGCTATTGGCAGTTCACCTCAGGACCACATCACTTAAAAAACACAGCAGTCAACTGTTCTTGTGTTTGCATTCATCTCTTTTTTTGCATTTAACATACTGTGCTACTTATTGGGTTTCACATACAGTAGAGCTTTTCAGCAAACCTTTCTTGGAAAGATTTTGGCAAAATAAGTTAAGGATTCACTTCCAGTAAAAGAAAATGTTCAACCTCAAAATAGTTTTTTCTCCATTGGTTTTTGACAGAGTTCTCTCTTCCTTTCCAACCCCTTCCATCCATAACCTCTGTCCATACACAGTACAGCATACTGGGTTTTCTTGGCCATTTTAAAACACCTTGCAAGGCTATTAAGGCCTTTTCTACTTCAGTGCTCTGCTCTCGACTCCCTTTCTTTGTGTTTGCCAGCTGTGGTGTGCACAGAAAGGATGCCTGTGTAACCTCCAAATGCGACAGAAACAGCAGTGGCAGATCAACGCCTCCTTTCATCGTTTCACTCCACTTTAAGCTTAAAGAAGACACATTTTACAGCAATCACATCGTTCAAAAGTTCAAATGCCAACACTCAGGCTTCCTCTCGGTGTGCCCTACACATGACATGTTGTGCCGATACTTATTTCCCCATGACCGTATCCATACCCGGGAACTCCACATCCCTTTTCTACAGAACCCACAAAAGCTTTTTTGGTGTTCCCAGTCCCAAAGCCACGACCACTGCCATGTAAACAGAAGGAGCAGAGGCGTTTGAGGCCCTTCCTGAAAGCAGAGTTGGAGAGGCTGTAGATGAGACAGTTACAGAAGCTGTTGCTGATGGCAAGCCATGTGGTTAGGAATGAGGCTGCAGGGTGGTGGTAGATCCCAGCACTCTCCAACAGAAAGTAGAGGATGTAGGGCAACCAGAGGATGTAAAACACGCTGGTAATGCGGAACAGTACCATAGCGTATCGCTTGTCCGGGTATGTTGATGTGGGCTGCTGATACTGGGGCTGGGATTTTTGTGATTCAGACAATTGTGGCAGGTGCGCTACTGCTCTGTTGTCTTTGACCGCAGATCCATCAGTCAATCCTGGACCCTGCAGCTGTTGGGGTCGGTAACGTGCGTGGCGCTCGCTGATCTCCCGGGTGTGCTGTCGGCAGATCTTGAAGATGTGGGCGTAGGTGAAGCAAACGGTGAGGGCAGCTGGGGCGTAGAGCAGTGCAACGATAAAGGTGGTGAAAGCCGGGCTAGTCTTCCACTCAACTGCGCACCACTCCACCACATCACCATGGTATCCGGGCTTCCCCCACCCGAGAAAAGACGGGAGAAACACCAGAGCAGAGTACAACCATATCAGCACGATGCAGCATCGCACTCGACACGGTGTCACGAGAGACGCATAAGTCAGAGGTCGTGTGATGGCGACGTAGCGGTCTACACTCACACACGCTAACGACACCATTGAAACCGATTTCAAAACAGACACCATGTAGCCGAACACCTGGCAGGTGAGTTTGGGGTCGAGGCCCTGGAGGTGATGGAGCAGGGACAGGGAGGGGTACAGGCAGCTGACCCCCACCAGCAGATCAGCGTATGCCATGGTCTGGATGAAAGCACTAGTGGTGTGCTGGCTAAGCAAGGGTGCACAGTGAAACACAAAAATCACCACAAGGTTACCACATATAATAAGAACAGTGAGCAAACATATGATGGAGACTTCAAGGAGGCAGACGGTGAAAATTTGGGAATAGCCTATCTCCAGCAGGCAGAAGGGAGCAGATAAGTTTGACGGGTCAGTAGAGCTTTGGTTCAGTGGATCCAGGGAGTAATTCATCATCTTGGGCAGGAATACGTTGCTGAGGGGCCCTTTAAGGATGCGATGAACCAAAGAACCCTCTATAACTAAGGTAGCCAGCTGATGCTGAGGGCAGCAGAGTGATTTCAGTCCATACAAAAAGCTCCATGCTGCGGTTCCATAAAGACACTGATGCCATCTGCCATTTCTAATGCAGGAGGGATGAAAAAGGACGGGAAAAGGTGAAGCAGCCCCTGGGCTTGTCCTTGGTGGTTTTATACAAAGATACAAAAATCACCAGCGAAAAACAGATCAACGCACAAAAACAAACATGTGTATTCCTTCTTTTCTTGGTAGAGCAAACTTCCCAGCTGAAGGCATAAAAAGGAAATGTTCTAGGACGAAATGTGACTTTGTTTAAAGGAATTCCAGTCCACGCTCAAAATGCCTCCGCTCCCTATAAAGTCAAGGATGTCCTCAACATCTGCTGCAGCTGCAGAAGCACAGATTGAAGCTCTCTCTTATCTGACTTTAGTCCACAGAATCACAGCTTCCAGTGAGAAGACATTGTTGCGTAATGTGCAGCGTAAAGGCATTGAGGATAAAAGACATTTAGCATGATATGTCCTTTTTATGCTGTCCTCCTGCTACTTCTTCCCGTTTCCTCTTCTTCTTTTCCTCTTGTTTCTTGCCTCTCCTTTACCTTATTTTCAGCACTCTTCCATGTCCGCTTGTTATTGTCTCAGTGTCTGTCTGGTCCTCTTGCAGTAAGATCACAGCAGAATGCCGTGAGCTGAGAGGATGAAGGCTATGTGCGGGGTGACTGATGTTTAAAATACGCACACACACACATACAAACACACCTCAGCTGTTTTTTCTATCCGGAGGACCAGGAACTATGTCTGGACTGGAAATGAGGTAGGCAGGCATACCGATGCTTGAAACCCCCCCGTGTTCATCTATCCTCCTTTGCTGCCTCTCTCACTCTTTCTCATTCCCCTCTGCCTCTCTCTACAGAAACAGTGGCACTGAGGCCCCTCCCCTTCCCTGTGGCTCTAACCAATGATCAACTGCAAGGGCACGAGGC